AGACGTAAATTGTCTAACCATGTTTGCAGATCTGCGCAAAACATTTCGAACAATCTGATCACACAAGTACTTGTCATAGGTATTTGTGTGAAAATTCATAAAGATAAGGGATGAGAATATGAAAAGAGGTCAAGTAGGAAGGCTAAATTAAATGCCAACGAACAGTGAAAATCAATACAGCGAAAATAATAATATATCGAACTTGGTTTCAGAGTTGAATTCACCGAAGGAGATTTAATGTGATAACAAACTGCTTTCGAATACACAAAGCTGGCTTAAACTTTCTAGTAGCTAAGGCCTCAACTCACAGTTAGTTAACCTTCCCATTCTACAATAACGTTGTAAGCGTCTTTTTTAGACAATATGGTAATAAAACTTAGTCATTGTGGTCTAATGTAATTCCATTTTAGTTGATTTATTAGATGTATCGTACAGTGAATGAAGTAGCATTATTTCCTGGATTACTTTTCGGAAACAATTTATTGTCTATCTCAAAACAACAACTCAATTTTGAAACATCCTTTGTATAGCCCTAATTTCCTCGCCTCCTATTGTGTGGCTGTATGCAATTGCACGCATAGTTATAGCCAAGCTTTTCACTAGGTTTCTTATCTTACCGAAATCTAGACTTAGCTAAGGTTTTGTGCTCTGTTTTTCTAATTAACCCTGGTTGGCGATTTTCACCTATCAATGTGTTTGATCTCGTAATCATTACAAGAGATTCAGCGAACTAAATTATTTTGCCTGATTGAATCAATAGCATTTTATAACCAACAAAGCTTATTTCTACTTGAGTTCGTAGGTTTAAATGCTACTCTAATCCCACACAGTCTTTTGAGAGTTCTACATAACGTTTCTGAGGTGCCTTCATTGTATAGTAATACTGTAGAGGTTTTTGATTCTCTCTTCACGCTATTCCCACTGTTAGTATTAACATTATTATTATTATGACTAACACCTGTATTACTAGTATTCGTCATATTTTTCTTACAGTTATTAAGAAACCTACTAATTAATTTCGTTTGGCAATTTTTGATGAGTAGGGTGTCCTTCATGTATCTGATTTCTTGTCTTAGATCTTCCGTTTTACTAATAAGATTTTGGCTTTGTTACTTTGAAATTTTTTCAAGCCAAACCCATTTAGAAATAAGTTTTTTGGTCAAAAAGTCCCATTTATCCAATTAGACAGAATAATTTAACTCATCAGATCCCTTGCAATGATCGTGAGGTCAAGCACATAAGTCGAACTAGTTGACTGTGGTCGATTAGTCTGTCGGAGCACCAAAATGTAGCTAAATCAAGATTGGTAGATTCTAATAAGATAAGGAATAATTTAGAGTAAAGCTCGACTATAGCTATACATGTGACTGCATACGATAGAGTCGGATAGTGATAGTATTAAAAACCGAGTTAGTTGGATAGAGAGAGAGATTGATAACTGAATCTTTGTTTATGGAATCAACACCTAATACATGCAACAGGAATGACTTAACACATGTTTGAGATATATTGGAAATCCTCCTGCCTATATCCCAAAGAAGTCAACAGAATTTCACCACTATTATCAACATTATTATTATTATGCCTGTGTTAATAATATTTATCAAATTTTTCTTAGGATTGCTAAGGTATTCATTAATTGATTTATGAGGCTGATTATTGATGAATGAGGTGTCCTTAATGTACTTGATTTCTTGTCTTAGACCTGTCTTGCTAGTAAGTTTCTTGGGCCTATTACTGATGTATATTATCAAGCCAACTTCAACTGGCATACGGTGAAAAGATTTAAAGTCAAAGTTAATATTCTTATCTGGAGGTTTTCTATGGATACTAGTGTCTAAACACCCATCTTGTTTTTGTTTTATTCTACAGTCCAGTATCGCTTATTCCCCTTCATAATTTTCTTATCCATAGGTGCATTGGATTATGTTAACTACTGAATTTATATATGTGATTGAATTATGTATTTACATCGATGTCAACACTGTAAGCGTATCATCTATACAAGAAAACCATACTTTTGAAGCAGGACTAAGTGTTTAGCCAGCCATCCGTTCCAACTATTTATGAATGTCTCCAATGTCCTCCAACTAGTATCAGTCCATGATGAATATCAACCTGAAATCAATAAATAAATCCCTACAAACCTCCAAAATGAATTAATCTAATGCTGATTGGCGAATAGATTCGAGAGGTGAGAAGTCGTGACCCGTGAGACCAACCAAGTCGAACATGAAGACAGTTTCTCAACGATGGCATTGGAGGAAGGTCACGCTACATTGTGGACTGACAGAAGTGGAAATATGGGCCCAATGGTAATGTGCTGGCCGCGGAACTTGAAGCTCCTGCTTTCAATCCCTGAAGAACGGGGTCATGGTCCACACTGCTGAGGAGTCTCATACTAGGAAGAAACAGCTGTCCACTGCTCCCAGGTTTCCTATGTTTCTTCATCTAATGTCAGTCCACGATTAATGCCAGCCGGAAATCAATAAATCCCCTCAAACCTCCAAGTTGTATCCATAAGTGTGTCTGCCGTGATACAGTTTCATTTCGTAACTTAACATCATAGACTATGCACTTTACCTTCTTTTTCAACAAGTTTCAATCTTGTTTTTTTATACTTGTAATTCCCCTCTTTTTATACTGACTCGATCTCAGTTGGCATATAAGACGAAACGCAATTCGTAGATTCCACTGTTAGCCGCCATTGAGTAAATTATAAGTCTCCGTCTTGTTTTGGTAAACTTCTCAGCGTCAGAATGCCTGACTAGTTAATAACTCATGTAATCACAGAAGACTAATATTTTTGCTGTTGACGAAATTGACAGAACGGTTACTTATTGCATCACTCTGCGACTAACTCATAGCTGATTAACCTTTGCATTTCACATTGACGTTGAAAGCGCTTTTTTTAATGAAATGAAAATAAAATGGCTATAGGATACAATAATTATAGCGCTTCTTTTGTATATAACTATGTGGAGAGTGATGAAATTAGTTGGTTATTGGGGGAAGTTGGATCATCTACACAACAATTGGGAAGTAATTTAGAGTTTAAAAGACTGTTATCATGGACAAATTTCGAAGCAAATCGAACAGATTTATGACAAACAGGGTTGGTAGTCTTGAAATGTATTGGGCGGTGATTGACTAACAAAATGCCATAGAAGCACCTGAAAAGGTAGGGTTAAAAGCAGTGGCAGATAATAGTAGAAATGAGTAGCTCCGAAGAACTGACTGAGTTACCGACTGGTGAGAACATTTCAAGTCACTTTCAGTGCTAATTCATAGTTCTTTCTTCTAATCGTGACTCACTGACCTAATAGATAACTCTCCGGTATTTGAAGTAGTTAGCTTTGGACTCGATTCTTAGGGGGAACAATATCACCACCCGAGAGACGTGTACATCCAGATGACGAGTCCCAAACAGGCGTCTAGCCACTATCTATCCTTGTATAGATACAAAAAGTGAAGACACCTTGAAAGATAGATACGCTAAAACCTCGTATTCATTCATTTATGTGAATCACGGATTTGAACAATGCTCCTTCTGCTGTGATTTGTATGACCATGAGTAAGTATTATTAGCCGTCAAACAACAGTTGTGACTGACTGTCTAAAGCACAAACCTTCACACGGTTACCAATTTACATTTGTTTTATTTCTTTATCCGTAGTATTTTTTTTGAATTAACTAGTTTTTACCTGGCCATCTATCAGTCTTAAAAAATGTTGATTGGTAAGGTTTTAGCTGAACAATAACTAATTTTTGTAAGTAAAGTGAACTATCGGGAAATAGAATATTCGTGCAATTATTTTTCTCAAGAAATATGATGCCATCAAATGACTCAGACAGGAATAAATTTCGAAAAATATTTTACAGTCGCTAATGTGTAATTCTGACTGATCGGTACTCAAAAGAATTTGTTCAGGTCATAGGACGGCAAACTTAATCTATAGACTTTTATCCGTGGTAGAAACTCTGGACTAGACAGCTACACTGATTCGCATACGTAATGGAGTCCTACAGAGGGTCATTCATTGACCGAATAGCTTAGCAGAGAAGTCTCTGTCTATAGGTTCAAGTGACGCAGGCTGGGATCATCTAGGGAATATAAGTTACCTCTTGGTCTCAGATATCCCTTGTTGATGAGTACTAACAAACACGAAATATCGGTACAGAGATTCCTGCCAATCGACTTCCAACATTTAATACCTAAAACCAGATAACAAGATATTGTTTATCGCCTAGTGAAAATTTACTGCACACATATAGAATGACAAACGAATCAGTTTTGGAGACTTGTACTAGTATAAAGAGAATGAGAAAAGTTGGTACTGAAGAAAGCATGCGCTATTAAAGTGTACTGAAGTTCGATTATTGTGTTGATATGCCATTTGGTCAGGCAAAAGGTATAAAGCTCATCTGTAGCGTCTTTAGCTCTATCACTGAATGATTCTAGTCCAATTTTAGAAGATTATCACTTCCTTTGCCTTCCTGATGGAAGCCAACTATGAAACTGAAATTCTACGCCTTCTACGCTAACCTAATGAATACATCTAGCAACAGAGGTCAAGCAATTTCCTCTGTAAAGCAACAGGGAATTACAATTATCAAACAGCGACTGATACCCGTTGCACAAGAGGTGGCCGTCGTGCCTCAGTGGCCTAGAGGGTAGTGTTTTAGTGTTTGAGCGATGGGTACTGGGTTCAAATCTCGGGAGGAACACCACCACTGACTGGGATACAGGTATATCCCGCTAACGAGTCCAAAATAGGACGAAACGTGTGTCTTGGGTGTCACTGCTGATCCACAAGGTGAACATTACATTCTACGTTCTCTGTTGCCTACCTCCAACCAACTTAAACCTAGCATTATTCTTCATATTTCAATGTCTAGATTAACATTTTCAAAACCAATTTTACTAAACAACCCTTTTTCGTTTATTAATTGAGGATTGATATTATGTTTTTCTGTTATTGTTTTGTTTTCTTTAACAGTAAAGATGTTGAAGGTGTAGCTCCAAAAATGAAAAATAGTATTACAGCTTTGGCATCAACATCAAAAGGTTTAGCTGTAGCCTGTTCACCTGGTATAGTTCATTGGTTTGAACATATGGATGATAATAGCACACCGCAACAACAAGAACAAGTGAAATCACCTCGAAAACAAAATCAAAGCAATGCACATCATCGTAAATATGATCCACTGATGATGTCAACAACAGGTAATCAAATGAATACACCATCAACAACAGCGCCGGTACCAGGAACACGAGTAAGAGCATCGAAAGATGAATATACACTACTACTTAGTATACAGATACCACAAGATCCAATAATAAGTGTAGATTCTGATTTTCAATTAGATCAGAATATTACACAACTTGTAATTAGTCCAACAGAAGATTTTATCATTGCTACAACTGATACACACCAATTGTATCAATTCAGTTTGACTAGTATTGATATCGGTATAAAAGGCAGTGATACAATGAGTAAGAAAAATTTAGTTAACGCTGGTGCTAAACGGCATATACCACAGGATACAATGACATTTGAACCAGTATCACAATCATTTCATAATGGACAAATATTAGGCATGGATGTATGCACGCGTAAACCATTGATAGCCACTTGTGCAACAGATAGAACTGTAAGAATATGGAATTTCGAAACAAAGTAAGTTTGTAGGAATGTATGTAATCGTGTAGATATATCATTGCCGGTTTTATTTTGTCCTGTTCATACTTCGATGATAAACTCTTGGGCTTGAATAAAATTAAAGTAGTTGAATAAGAGCTGTGCACTTTCTATGTTATTTGGATGGAGTCAATCAGCAGGAAGCCCTGCTTCACCTAGGTTTGGTTCTCGTTAGGACTCGTCAGCAAGGCGTATCTATAACCTTAACAGAACCGATGTCCATTGTGGGACCCGAACCCACGCCAACCAGTGCAACAGTCATAGATGTTACCGTTGAGTTATTGGGATCAAGATTGACCTTTTTTAGAACTGCATTGGTTACACTGATTGGTCCACGACTTCCTGCCAATCGCTTCCAACCTAGTAACATGTATCAAAGAGCACCGCAATGGTCAAGCTCCTAGCTAGATGACTACATTGCAAATTGATCTATAAAATTAGGTCAGCTTTGAGATTGGTTGCTCCCTAGTGACCAACCAATAAAATTTCCTCTCTCCAAAATGTATCTTAAATGTCAAAAAAAGGTTTCACTTGGGTCTCAAATTTGAGTCTTTCAGTTCTACAGTCAGAAATCTAACCTAATCTCTAAGCTATTTATACTATGATTGCCTCATCTGTGAGATTGCATTCAGTGAATGAAGAAAGTTTCAATAAGACAATCACGGATACCTAGCAACCGTTTACCTCGTCACATAATGTTACTTAAAGTAGGTTCAGGCTGAAAATAGGTTACAGGTAGTCGGACTATGAAGTAATTTATTGTTGGTCTGAGTTGTGTGTGGGAGATATAGACTTCTCGGTTGGGGTATGTGTGACAGAAAAAACCGGTGGTTTGAGACTCAGTGATATGGCTTGGAATAGATCTCACTGTCACGAAATCATTCGTGCATTATCTCCCCCATAATACTAGATTTCAGTAATGTCTTATTCCCCTTACTCTTTTCATGATGACGTTTTATCATTTTTGACTGCTTTTTCCCTTATTTCTTCATCTTTCACCATCCTGCATAGTGGGTTGATGTGCTGATATGAAGTGTGGCGAGTTGGGACCTTTTGGTAGGTTCGATGTTGATATTATCTGTGGACGTGATGTATGCACATATATATTGATTAGTTACTGAAGAGCAATCTACTCCACCTTGTCTGGTACTGAGTGCTGATTGAATTCTGTCGATCATTTTAAAATGTGGCCATCAAGCTAGAAGGTTGGCCATCACAGGGCACTTTAGTGGATGTTACTTAGTTGAAGGCAATTGGCAGGGATACCCTGGACCTAGGTTTCTTGCCTGTTGGCACTCGGCAGCAAGGCACATATGTAATCTTGAGGGTACTGATGTCCCACCTGAGATTCCAACTCGCGTCACTCTGTTGCATTCACTGACCAGACCATTAACTTATTCGGGATGCATGTTTGTAAGGACATATGACAGATGTAGAATGGGTGGGAGCTAGGTGCATCTGTGCCTGGTATCAATGGAGTATCACTACTGTTATTGTTCCTTTACTTATTCTGTGAAACAGAAACGAAATGATATTTTGGTATGAAGCACATGCTGGTACATGTGTCAGTATCATGGTCATGTTAGGTTAGTCGTGGTGTGAATAGTAGTGTTTGAGTCTAGGTTTGATGTGCAACCCGTTCTAAAGTTCATGTCAGGTTGGAAGTTTGACTGAGGCGATATATCCATTAAATAGTTAATTGGGTGTCTTTTGGTGAGCTCAGCCAGAACAGAACAAAAGGAGAAATGTTTACTTGATTTTTATTTGAAACGCACCCCAAATAGTTCCGTAGTGAATTCGCTGACTACTACACTGGGTGACGCAGATTTTAATCTCACACGGGATTTCAGTTCCCTCGAGGTTCTAGATATGCCTTGCTAACGAGTACCAGCAAGCAAGAAACCTAAGTCAAGATGAGATTCCTGCCAATTGGCTCCAACCAACCTACGTATGATACATATGCCAGCTAACTATATATATTGTGACAATTGAGCGAACTCATGATTTTATTGAAAGCTATAGGGCAAACAGTGTGAATATTTTGCATGAAATCAACAAAAGATAGTTAAAAGGAGAAGAATGTTTACCAAGAAATCAAGTATCGGGAATGAATTTCTACTCCATAATGAGGGGTAACATCAGCTGCATGTAACCATTATTACTTATACCTTGACTAGTTGTTTACGATAAGCTTAAAACATAGATTGAGCTATCTTATTTTACTATCTCAAAACTTCTTCAACATAGAAAAAAACTATGGGTCAAAGAAGAGTTTTGAACATTTACAATATGTTTACCAGTTTCAAACACTGAATAACATGATCACTCTACACCAACCACATGCTACCACTTACTATCTTGAATCATTTTGTAGCTTGACTGCTTCAACTTCAGTCAATCTTAATTACCTTAAGTCGAAGTAATCAGAACAATTCATAAAAATATGACAGTGTCGAGTTGAGGAATGTGAACTTCTCGGTTGGGGTGGTCATGACAACTGAAGACGGCTGTTTTGAGACTCTTGGTAACGTGGTTCAAAATCGATACCATCGGGATACATCCATTAACACATTATGTTCAACTTAGTCATCGTATTGCACTTCCTCATTGTCGTACGCCTCTATTCCAATGAATTTCTACTATTTCTGTATCTTTTATTCTGCTGCCTTGGTTACAAATTTTTGATCACATTTGTTTTCGGATTATTGCTCGTGTTTGATGAAATCACCGTATGAGGAATACTGACGCTAAGCGAAGGATAATAGGAAAGGTAGGCAAGTCGATGATGAGGTTGTGAACTTTAGACGTTGTTTGGAACTGCTCAGTAGTGTGCACCGATAACAGTGTAAGGAACCAAACGCAAAAACGCCAAGGTTTGAGAACAGCACAGTACCAACTAATTATTGTACTGGGCTCCAACAATTCATGTTTTTCAAACTTCTTTCAATTCGTAATGTAGCAAGACAGTCATCTAAGGTCGTAGGTAAGCATCTTTCCATAAAACTTGAATTGGTTTACCCTTAATATCATAGTTACTTATTAGAATTGCGGGAAATATATCTCCAAACAGTTCGTTATTAAGCACCAGACCATTATTGAATCGACTTTTCAAGAAGCTGTGAATTAAATAAGACGTTTAATCTTGTAGGCAGGAAATTGTATGCTACACACTTATTATTCATTTATGAAAAGAGTGAGTGTTACTTACTACGATGGTAAAAAGGTCAGTTCTGGACACATAGTGCTATTAAACAAAAATAATGAGATCTTTGAAAAAGAAAGTACATGCTACTGAAATATACCGAAGATAGATTATTCTGCTAAAATGATTTACCTACCATTCGGGGATTCTGTGTAGATGTGACAGATAGAAATAAGAAGTAGAGTTCAAGAAATAGAAATTAAAGCATAAAATTATCTGTCAGTGTTTATTTAATTCGTCTATAATATTGTTTTGCAGCTTTTGACTATCTGATTTATATTGTACATTGAACTCAGAAAACGTTTAAATTTTGCATTTCAGTATTCAGTATACATGTTTATTTTACTTCCCCTCTCTCTCTCTTACGTTCTTTTTAGCGACTTGGAGTTAAGTAAACAATTCGCTGAAGAAGCATTTAGTGTCACACTTCATCCATCCGGTTTATATGTTTTAGTTGGATTCAGTGATAAATTACGTTTGATGAATATACTGATTGATGATATACGAACATTTCATGAATTTACAATACGTGGATGTCGTGAGGTGAGTCACACTCTCGTCTCCACTCAACTAATATATTCTTGTTGTGTAATAGAATCTCGTCTTAAAAATACCATTCACAGTGTATCACTGATTCCAACCTAGTATAGTCTTAAGTATGGATTGGTCCCATTTGGTAGATTGATGAGAACTAGGATGAATTAATTAGTTGTTCCATTTTAACTTGTAAATTTCCTAGTTTCATATACTCGTAGAAGTAAACTTCGGTGACTGGTAACTTTACCAATCATGTGCAGATGCCGTGTTCAAGGTCATTCGTTACGTCCGTCTACCACATTGTAGACGTTGCATAAACATGAATTACGGTGAAGGTTACGTTGTGGGTTATTTCCAGTGAGTTGGATTGCTTGCAGAGAGCCTACTTTGTGAATGTTGTTTACCTAACCATGAGAAAAGAATGGTATAGAAGAAATTTAGCAAAAAGATCCAACTTACAGAACAAAACGTATGTGCTCGGAAGATACAGCTGAAGAGGTACTGACGACTTTGTGCAACATATTATTCGAAAATGGCTATCCCAATAAGTTCATAAAAAATATATGATTATAAAAATAACAAGAAAGAATGTTCAAACCGATAACAGAAAACCACTATACGTTTGGGTACAATTTAGAGGTGACGTGCTCAGCAAGATATTAATTCACAAACTACACAGGTGAGTTTAGAGAACTTTGAATACTGGTATGTTACAAACATGTCAAGTGGTGACACCAAGGCTGAAAGATGAACTACCTAGACTTGCCACTTCCTGTTGTGTTTATCAGTTCGACTGCTCCTGTGCAGCCAGTTACCTTGGTCTCTACTCTAGGAATTTAATTTGAACTACTCACGATCACCCAGCATGGTTAAGTAGAGGTGGAGTAAAGACCATTACCAGCTCCATATAAGCACATTTGGTTGAAACAATCAATAAGGTGAATATAAACGAGCCGTTTTCTACTCTCTACCGGGTTACCATCAACTTCCAAAAGGTTATCCAACGCTGAATCTTCCAGACTGCAGAAGCAGTGGGAATCAGTAACAAACAACAACAGACAACAACAAACAAAAAAAGTAAGTATTGCCTCTACAACTACCGTGGCCCGATTCGCGACGCATAAATTCCTTTGTATTTTATCTTGGGTAATCTAATTTCCTAATTCCATACTACATATATCCCTTCTTCCCTATAACCTGAAATAATTTTGGCTCATTGTTTTAATCTATTTTGTCTCCCAACGTAAGTAACATTCTATCAAGCTATTATTCCTTAAATTATCTTTCTTAGTTTATTTCATCCAAATTTCATAGACCCGTTTTAATCGTTTTATTAAATTAACACCTTATGGAATTACATAGACCGTAAACTTGACAAGACAACCAATTATTTTGATTCTGACTTCAGTTATAATTGATTCTGTCGACAACTTTCACTTAAGACTTTTCTGAATTGACTTCCCCGACTGTATAGTGTTATTAACAAACTGATAAGCAAAATTTTAATATTGTTGACGCATAATTCTTTAATACGTACATATAACACTAGGATCTGAAGAAGTTATCAAAAAATAAATTATTTGTCCACTAAAATGGCTTTTAGATTCAATCTGAATTTTCATTTTTCCAAGAGTAGCTGGGCTGAATTAATTTCAGCTGATTGATTATGTGATAACAGTTGCTTTGGAAGTGAATATGTCCCATATGCAATTTTATACCTGACTGACAAAACATAGATTTCAAATGTACTGCATTATTTGATGGGTGCTGAATGTTGATGTAATAGTCAAACTGTAATCCTACTGACTGCTTATCAGACTTGTAAGCTTCTTAGTAAGTACTGACAAAATACAGGGTCTTCTGAAGGCGCTGAGCAGAAATCAGAGTATGTTTAGCATGCATTTCGTACATATCAGCTGTAAGATGATGCTTCAGGACAGGTCTGCTACCACTCTCAATTCAATGATAGGGAATGGAGTGGTGGAATTTTCCGAACAGTTCGCTCACTCAGAGATCTGCATCATTTTGAACGGGCTGGTTGCTGAGATGCCAACTCGCATCATCTCTGACGCCAATGAGAGACATAACCGGTGACCTATTAAAGAATGAGTATACTGCATTGCAGTCCATTCTGCCCTGTTAAACGGCTGTGAGATGCGGCCGTTGAAGACAGAAGACATGAAGCAATTACAAGGTTCTGATCACTAATGTCTTCGTAGTACTGCTTGCGTTTGGTGCAATCACCGTGTAGGCAATGGTGAAGTCAGGCAAAAGGTACTAGTTGCGTAGGCCGAGCCACCGCCTCCTTTGATATGCCATAGTAGGTGAGGAAGGTAGATTAGGTTGGAGGAGGGTTCAGGGTGAAGAGAGGAATATGTGGCATCAGTCGTTGAAATTTTTAATCGTTGGTCGAAGCCGTATTTGGAGATATAGAATACTTATCTGAGACAACAGGAGTCAGTGACTGAGGACTTATTGTGACATGGCTGAGAATCAGTCACAATGCCCAGATTTATTTTCTCCCTGATATCTTTTGAAGCTCGAATGTTTCCACTAACATTATCGTTGGATTTCTTCCCCTTTCATACATCTTTGTCTACTTTGAAATCCATCTTATTCTACCCACTTGTTTTTGTATACCAATATGAAGTGTGGCAAGTTGAGCCACTGCAATTGTGTGCGAAGTTCTACGTCGATCCTATATATCTGTCTGTCTTTCGCTCCTCCGAATCTCTTATATATTATTATTATTTATCCCTTGGGTTTCTAATGGAACATAGGGCTTCAGTAGCACGCCTCCAGTGACCTCTGTTCTCTGAGATCTTTTGAACCTGGTCCCACGACAGCCAAGAAGCTCTCATTTCCTCCTCACACGACCTCCTCCATGTCACCGTCGGACGTCCAACTCGTCGCTTCCCATATGGGTTCCACTGGGGGGTCTGACGCTTGATATCCTCAGTCGGCCTTCTCAGTGTATGCCCAATCCATCTCCACTTCTTCCTGCATATTTGTTGAGCGATAGCTTCTTGGTTGGTTCGTTCCCAGAGCTCCTTTTTGCTTATTCTTTCTGGCCATCTGATCTTCAGTAGCGAGCGTAAGCAGTTGTTGATAAATGTCTGTAGTTTATTGGAAATGCCTTTCGTGACGCGCCAAGTCTCTGAACCATACAAGAGCACTGACTTGACGTTGGTGTTGAAAATCCGTATCTTGTTCCGCATGCTGAGTGGAGTGCAGAAGATCTCCACACTGGTTTCAGGAAAATGAACGCCGTCTTGCTGTCTTTCCGATTCTGGCTTTGGCGTCCTCGTCCGTCCCGCCTGTAGTTGAAACAGTGCTGCCGAGATAGGTGAAAGAGGCTAGTTCCTTTAAGTTTCTCCTGTTGATGGCGATTGGTGTTTGTTGTTGGTGGTGGTGGTTGGGTATCTTCATCACCTCTGTCTTCTCTATATTCACTTGAAGTCCCGTCTTCGCTGCCTCTTCTGTAAACTTGTTAGTTTTCGCCTATAGATCTTCGAGTTTGTGCCACAAGACATTAGACATAAGTTATCGGTGAAATCCAAATCTCCTTCTGGGATCTTTTCATCGGTCCAGCGTATCCCTCTCTTCTCGCTCCTCAGTGTTTGTTGCATGATCCAGTGCACTACAATCAGGAATTTCATGGGTGATAGTAGACAACCTTGTTTTACTCCTGTCTCCACTTCAAAAGCATCTCCGAATCTCTTACAACTGCCATATTTAGAATTAGATCAAATTGTAGAGCACTTGGTCGGTGACACGAAGGTCTCTTGTCCGAACCCGCTCGTTACTTAGATTTTTACTTCACCTTTAATCATTACCTATCAGTTTCATTTTATCAATGTTATTTTCTGAATAAAAAGAGAAAATGTATTTGATTCCTTTTTAGTGTGCATTTAGTAATGGTGGTCACTTATTGGCTGCAGTTAACGGGAATGTAATCCAAATTTATTCTGTTACAACGTTTGATAATGTTACAAACTTGAAAGGACATAACGGAAAAATTCGTTCTATTGTTTGGTCAGATGACGATAATAAATTGATTTCGTGTGGTATGGATGGTGCCGTCTACGAATGGGATCCACAAAAAGGTGGGTGGGTATAATTATCGGGAATAGTAGATTTAGAAAGCTATTAAGTTACCTGACAATAAGTAATGTGATCAGTGGTTCGACTCAGTATAGCAAAAGAAGATTAAAGTATCAAGCAAAAACTGATACTAGTTTCACAAGAGATGGTTTTCGCTTTAGCGTTTGAAGTGACGGGTGCTGAGTTTGAGTCTCAGTAGGAACCATACCACTCAGTGGAGTGCTGTAACATTCAGCTGACGAGTACCAAACAGGAAGAAACACATGTCCTGGATTTCACTGCTAACCACCACCAAGCAAACTAAAACTTATTATGGTTTTATGAGCTGCATACCCTTGGTTAGAATCATTCGCATTCTTTTCTTCAACTTAATTTACTAATACTCCTAGTGTTCTCATACCTTACTGAATCTCTCTTCTAATTTTTAAAGCGAACTAATTTGTATGCTTACCAACTAACGATTTAGAGATTGAACGGAAAGATGAATCAACATAGAATCTCGTGATGGCTGAAGTTGGAGTATGTCACAGCAGCATACAAAGAACAAGTGGATAGGAAAAACATGATAAATGAAACAGACAAATTAACTACTTTAACAGACTTCAAATCATGTCATCAAGAGTCACAAACCAGCGATTCTTATCATTCCGAAGATCTTAGCCAGGTAGCCTGAAATAGTCTACATGATTCAAGCTAACAGCTGATGACTTCGTGAATTACTGCTGGTTCCTGGCCTGACTTTTCCCGACCTAATGCGTTGCTATCGCTGGAAATTCATATATACTTGTTGAATCACATCAATGCGAAGTTTGATAGTATGTTGCATTTCCATTGAAACTTACCAATATCTTTTCCGTTGTGTCATACTATTCAAAATCAACTACATACCTTGGAAGTTAGACCAGCCAAGGTGAGTTGCTGACTGACGAAATTTCGACACAAATACAGAAAGTCTCCCTTAACCTTCGCCACGTCATATCATTTTTGTGGCTGGCGCGATATCCGGTCATCTATTCAGGGTTGAATTCATTGCACTACAGTTCGCTCTGTTCTGCTACATGACTGTGAAACATACCTTCGTAGCAGAGACCATGTATCATTGTGTCACAACGTCAAAAACATAGAAGTCAGTTGATCGAGTTGTGAACCTTCATCAACTCAGGTAACTAAGACATGCGTTGCGTATGCCTAGTCACCTTTTGGCCTGTCGAAGAATGTTGGCCAAAGTCAGTTAAAACTTGAAGCAGGTTACAGACCACCAAACTAAAAAATGACATCAGTCAATATAGTTTTTGACTCTTGATCTGAGTGGTGTAGGTGAATGTAGGCTGGCGTATGGAGGTCCACGTGACAACGGAAATCGGTGTTTTCAGACTATAGTTGGTATGCCTCAGAATCGTTCTCAGAGATATAGAGACATCCACACACTGCCGTAAGTGTAAAACTTGGACATTGTGGTAGAATGTAATTTCGTATTAGATTTGTTTATTTGATATATGGTGCACAGTGATAAAGTATTACTTATTTACTGGATGACATTTCCAGGATAAATTATTCCTCAAATTACAAATATCAGTGTAATCACATTCCTTTATATATATGATTTTTATAGTCTTGTCACTTTATATTCTTTGTTTCTATTGGTAGCAAAGTTTTCCATATCTCTGGTATAAGTGGCGTGTCATTCCCATTACATATGTTGGGTATTCGATCGATGAATAAAGATTCACTAATCAATCAATCTCTCTGCCTAATTATATTGGACTTCAGTACAGTGATTTTACCCCACCCCAATGTGTAGTTGTGTGGTAATACATCCATTGCAATAACCGAGTCGCTTCTAGATCATTTATCCTATTAGGGTCTATCATTCTATATTTGGCTCAATTCTGATGTTCAGTATTCAAACTATTCTAGTTTGACCTATCTACCTGACTTGAAATTTACTCATAGAACTAAGATACCGGTTTATGAAATCATTTTAGGCGTACACTTATATCTGATCTCCACACTCTTCAAGTTTCAGGACAAAACATACAGACAAACAGGAGGAGTAACAACGGGATCACTGATATCCCCAATCATAGCAGATATATTTATGGATAGTATATATGGTAACAATTTGTGAATGACACACTTACTGTGTTGAAATCATAACATATCGTCAGTTTCCTCACACTTATAAACTCAGTAGTAGGCTCAATTCAATTCACTTACGAGGTAGAAAATGAAGGAGGAGAAATACCTACGTTGGATTGCAGAGTAAAACGAAGAGTAGACGATAATTTAGATGCTACTGTCTACAGGAAACCGACACATTCTAAAGGGTATCTAGACTTCAGATCATTTCATCTAATGTCGGTTAAGGCGGTTTTAGTCAAATGTCTAAATGACAGAGCTAAAAAAACTCCCTAGTTAGTGCAAAGACTTTAACAAGTAATTTAAGCACGTTAAATAATCGTTGATAATTAATAATTATCCTCTACAGTTTATTACGAAATCCATAGGGAAAAATAAGAAATGAAATGATAACAGTAATGCGAATGCTAATAATAGCGACAACACGAGCAGAAAGGAGTTCAAAGCCTCTATTGTATTACCATATAAGAAAGGAACATCAGAAACTTTACGAAAGATTCTCAACAAGGCTGGAATTAAGGGGGCTAGAGAGGTTGGTTACTGAAGCTTTGTTTATCGAATCAACATTCAACACATGTAGTGGAAATAATGCATCACCTATACCAGAGATATGAAATATTTTACTACTAATAAAAACAAGGAATATGAAATGGTGAATAGAACTATAAAAACCAGTTGTTGAAGATAGTGTGATTACATCGATTTGATAATGTGAGGAATAACTTATACTCGAAACGTCATGCAGTAAATAATTCTGTATCACTGTGGTGCTACCTAACAAACAAACAAATCGAATATGTAACGGTTTCGCTGTATATTCCCATGCATTTCAGCAGCACCAGCGGGAAGAAGAAACTACTGAACAGCATTTGAAAACGACTGAAGTCAAAACTCAGAAATGAAGTTAAGAACTCAGTGCATCTGTAGCAATATAATTAACTTTATTTCTTAGTAATCATTTCTTCAGTTATTAGTCTTCCTGTTACCCTTTCTATTCAGTTCTGAAAGTCTGAATCTCCGTAAGTGTCTCGTACTGATAGTTATTGATTAATGTCATTTCTTGGTATGGTGATCACATGATCCCACCATATATCGAGTTCATCATAAGCTTTCCGCTACACTGCTGGCAATTACCAGTCAATCTTTCTATTGCCTGCCAGTTCATCTAGGCTGATTTTCAGGGACACAAAAGGTGCAAAAGCATTCAACTCTCCAACTCTTTAGTTCTTTCATGATGAAAAGAACTTTCTATAGTCTATTCGAAAAAGGTTCTCAGTAGTTGTGAGAACTGGATATCCTAAAATCTTTCGCTTTGACTACCTGTGTTCCTTTATTTCGTATAGGCACATTTTTATACGTTGTTCACCACATTTTCCAACTTTGACTAGCAGAGACTTTGAGATATTGGATCTAGTTTCTGAAATTTATGTCAACATCTTAGGCTGTGGTTTGTGTTCACTCATATCACATGTCTTGGCTAACGGATACTGATAGACACCAAAGAACTAAGCGTTACAACGATTAAAGACTAACAATATATTTGTGTGCATAAATAAACCTTAGAACTGATCGAGAAACTTGTTAGAAGGTTGATATTGTCTGTTACTGCTAAAATGAATGACGCATATTTGGATTTCGTACGGAGCATCGTTCTATCCACGGATGCGGATGAACCTTATATATCCACAATAAAACTAAATTATGTGGCTCCCAACCTAACGTATTCAAATTTATCTGCTATTTGTAACTGTTCTCTCATGATATTGTTGTTGTTTTACCACTAGGCAGTCAACCGGCATTTAATTTGTACTTATTGGTATTAAACTTGAAGGTTTTACATAATGATTTACTCTAGCTGGCATATTATCTGTTGAATGACATCCATCTATCTAGCTCCTGTTCATTTCAGTAAAGCAAAAGTGATAGCAAGCGGCCAAAGCTGGAATCAACATTTTAAGTTATCAGCTGCTAAGTCAAAAGTTTTCGCATTTCGATTTCTGTTTTATTTCACTGTGTGGTCAGGAAAAACTTTATTGAACAATTCTATCCTACAGCTGACCAATCAAAATAAGCCAGTTAACTCTTGACCTTGAGGTTTATTTGTTCATGAAAACTGTTGCGTGTAAAGAATGTATTTTTATAGAATAAAGAGTCCTCCTTACACTCACAGACCAGTCTTTGTGTATTTTTCTAAAAATTTATTTTATACAAATTATACATTTCTATTCATATAGGAGCAAGAATTAATGAGAGTGTACTAAAAGCTTGTAGTTATACAAGTGTAACTGTTTCACAAGATGCTAAAACTCTTTATGCTGTCGGCTCCGATAAGACATTGAAGGAGATAAGTGATTCACAAGTAAGTTTTAATCAATACTCAGATATTTTCATTATACTGTTGAAGAGTATAAATCTTATTCATGCAAAGCTTTTGATGTGTGATGTGTGTTATCTACGGAAACGTCGTTTTTTGACCTAATTTGTAGGGTTTATACCTTGTGTTTTGAAAGTAATCAAATGATGTTTTCTTGATTCTCTGTCATGTGACAAGACTGTAGTTAGCAAGAACAGAGATAAAGAGTGAAGTACTTTACTGTATAGATGATATCAACCCTGAAAGTGCCGAGAAAATATTGGTTGTTTGTTCTTGTTTCTTTCATTTGAACGTTAGTTACTCAACTGATGTCACTCCATAGTGAATTTCAACCTGAAACCAGGCCGGTAAATATTTTTGTGTACGAAGACGCACCTGCCTATCATACGTCCTATGTAACTTGTCCCATAGGAACAGTTAAATTGATATTATGCTATCTGAGATAGCTGTGACTTGTCAACTAAGCGAAAACCCTAAATGAATAAAGTGAACTTAAGACGAGGTCAGTATCTCGGTTGCCCCGGTCACTACCTAAACCAGAATAGTTCATAGTAAATATCTGGGACGGTTTGAATGAGATGACTCCGAATAATAATCAAGCGACTCATATCAATATAATAAATTCTACTATGTTTTTATAAATGCATTTAATGAACAGCTCATGCACTTAGATGTATTTCCAAATAATATGTACTAGTGTAACAATTTGAGCTGATCTTGATGCAATTAAGAATTTGAGAGGAGTTTTTCAAGGCTATTTTCGTTTGAATAAACCACTATTTCATAAAAAAGGGATCTGTAACTCCAGTTTCAAATGTGTATAACTTTTACAAATTTTATTTACCGAAACATTTCTAACCCTTTCTAGTTCTGCTGACGAATATTTCATGTGTTTCTTTCAAAAAAAACTTTAAAGTGACTTGATTAGTGGTACGTAGGTCAGTTTCAGTGTTCACTAAATTGATATGACTAACCACATCATTAATTCAAAGCACATATGTCACAGGTATGCAAACAAATTTAAATGAATTTAGATGGTATATATCACCAGTTCCTTGAGTATGGTAGATTATTGGAGTGATAACATCATTTTTCAATTCTGTTAGTGCAAAGAAGGGCTATACATCAGTGCTTTATATACTGAAATAGCTACTCCACCATTTTCGACTTACACTGGTGCATAGTATTATGGGTCTTACCTATATCATAATTTTTTTGATATTCATCAGGCTTACTATTACTGTATTAAGTAGTTAAAAAAGAAATTCTAAAAAGGGCTATTACTATTTTGATTCCATCTGTATAATCCAGTGTGTAGTAATCGATCAATATACTTTACTGTATTATCTCCGATTTCAAATATCCAGTCTCAAAGATTTAATTCCTTTTGTCGTTTGGTAGAAGTATGGATATTGCATGTGAAAAACCACAGAACTGCCGTTAAACTGCAGCTTAAGAGACAACCAATCTGTTTTAGATCTCTTTCATGTTTTGTGTTTGTGTGTCAGTAAACAAAGAACTCTTGAAGATATGACATATTCCATTGTCCTAGTTCCAGTAGTATCATCACTTTGATGGTGGTATATCTCAGCACTAGTTTCTGATAATTTGCTTCCAAATGTTCACAGCATAGTGACTGGTTTAATAAAACTACTAAAAATCTCTGTAACCTGCAGTGTGTTTGGTGGCAATCAGTTCAATCCGAGCCACTGAGGCCTATTAGATGTTGCTTCTATGGTTTGAAGCCACGGATACTAGGTTCGATTCCCGGTTAGAACAAAATCACTCATTGGGGTGCAGGTACATCCAGCTGACGAGTCCCAAATAGGACGAAACGTGTGTACTGAATTCCACTGCCAGCCACCAAATAGACTACGGTATGATGAATGTACTTGCAGTATCAAGGCTTTTGCATAGAAACTTATGTGCCAACAGAGGTCAGACGATTCTATTCAGTATTCTATTCGGTATCAACGAACATCTCTATAACCTGTTTTGCCAACACAACACAGAATTTCATGCTGAAGGGATTATTGAAAACCACTTAAGTCAGGAAGTTTTCAGGTGTAACTCACCTTACCTTATAGGTTCTATGAAGTTAGACTCCTGTTAATATTGTGACAAATAGCCAATTCGACTATCACCTTGAATCAAATAGTCAATTACGCCATAGTTTACATGAAATCTGTTTTTGAAGTATTTCAAAGGGGATGCATTGTAATACTCTTAGCTGTAAACTTTCTACCCAACCATCAAATCTTGATTTACTTTGGATGTCTTTAAACTTTCACTAAAACATTAAACTGAACCTGTTTTCTGATTTAAAAATACTGCATTTTAACACATTCATAAGATTACACTGAATTAGTTGACTGTTTTGTTGTTGAAACGTCTGCCATCAAAATGTTCCCAGTGAACATGTAATTATGTAATATTGTTTGAGGTTTATGAGGATTTCACTTTCTAGGAAGTATTTATAACGGACTGACATAGTTTAAAGAAGAATTGAAAAACCGGTAACACTGGATAGCCATTCCGTCTTAGTATAGGACTCCTTAGCACTGCGCACCCATGACACCGCCCCACCAAGGATCGAAATAAGAACCTTCAGGTCTCATGGCAACATGCTAACCATTCAGTTGGAGTTCGATAGTTGGCAGTTTCCTACTTCTGCCAATTCGCGACATAGTGCGACTATCCACCAAAGTCATCTTTTGACGTCCACTTCACTTTTGACTGGTTGAACCGAAAAACTAAATTACGGTATAGTCCTCATTAGTGACATGATTCCAGATGGATATCTCAAGTTGTAATGAGTAGCCGTGACTGCTAGTGTCAACCAAGTCGGAAGTTAAGCAGATGCCAACTGAAGACTTTAGATGATAGCTGTGATGTATTACGATTTATAGAAGCAGAAGCTGTGGATCGTTAAGTCGTCCGCTGTGAAGAGTGATAGTCTTCAGTCCTTGCCGTGGTTGGGTCGAGGGCAGGTACTCCTGAGAAGTTCCATTCTCGACATAGAGAGCTGCATAATCCTCTCAACTTTTTAATGATTCTCCAACTCAAGTCAACCATAATGAATACTACTTTTAATAAAATCAGGTAGAGTGAAATATTTCTTTTCATATTATCTTTTATGTTATACAGATTGTTCATGAAATTGAATCATCATCTGATATACTACTGACTACAGTTACTGTTTCACGTTCTGGACGTATGTTATTCTGTGGTTGCCAAAATGGTCATATCAGATCATATCAAATGCCATTAACTGATAATTCTGATTGGCAAGATTATGTTGGTCATTGTGAGAGTATAACAAAAATGCGAATGGCTTCATTTGATGATTATCTAATCACTGTATCCAATGATTGTTCAATTATGATTTGGCGAGTTCAAGATCGTGAAGCACGTGCTAGTAAAACAGAAAAAGAAATTGAATGGACAGAAGAAATATTAATTACTAGATCAGATTTAGAAGAGAAAGTTAGTTTTTTTAATGAAAAAAATTGTTCAACTTTAAAAAAATTTTATTCCCTCTATTAGTTTAAGATAAAATATCATCAAGAATTTACAGCAATGAGATAACAAGTTTGTACGCAAGAGACAGTTGGTATTCATCTTGTCTAAGTTTAGAATTTTTCAACAATACGCATTGCTCTAAGTAGTATCGAATCAGCGATGAAAATTTGTGAATTATGAAATGGATTAAGTAAATGGTTTAAAGAAATCACTATTCAAAATAATTCATGATAATGTAAATAATATTAAGGAAGATAACTGAAAGACAGTAGAATTACTGAGCAAAAAGCGGTACATCATAGGCATTTAATAGCGCTGTTATTTCCACAGCATTTGAATTGATGAGTGTTATTAAAAGAGATGAAATCAACCAAAGATCCGGTTGAAAAATTGAACAAGAAGAACAACAATGTGGTGCATAAAAAAGTACTGTATGCAAACTGCTGGGTAAGCTCTGTAGACGAAAACTCAAGCCAGCTGAAAATTAGACTGAATGAAAATCGAGGAATAACTGAAGGTTAACCAACAGAAGGACTAAATATACAAAATAATTTGGTTGGTTGTGGCTAGTAGAAGAATCCGGGACACGCGTCTCGTCCTATTTGGGACTCACTTGTCTGCTGGATGTATCCACATCGCAGTCAGTAATGTTGTTCCCAGTGAGACTCGAACCTTGTGCCCATAGCTTCAAGCGCCAAGGCGTCACCCACTATGCCTCGTAGGAACGATGGGAACCTCTTGTACAATGGGTAGTAGTTATTACTATTTATTGACAGACTTGTTATTTTGCGTTGTTTCATTGGATCGAATTGTTTGACCTCTGTTGACATATGGGCTCCTATGCGGATGCCTCGATATTGCCTGAATGTTAATTATCATAATTTGGTTCATTGTGGCTAGCAGAAGAATCCAGGACGCGCGTTTTTGTTCTATTCGGGACTTCTGCTAGCCACAACCAACCAAATTATCATAATTAACATTCAGGCAATACCAAGGCACCCGCATAACAGCCCATATGCCAGTAGAGGTTGAATAATTCGATCCAATGAAACAACGGAGAATAACAAGTAAATCAATGAATAGTAATAGATATACAAAAGTTTAAAGAAATTCCATCGATAGCAACCAACACATAAGATGAAAATTATAATGTCGATATGAACATCACTATCATACTTAAGTTCAATAAAAATAAATAGAAAGAAGGATTAACAACAGAATCGATGCTTATACACGTCACTCCTAGCATGTAACAAAGGTGACTCCACTCGACTGTCACCCACATAAAACATTAAATAAGTAATTATTTGTTGATATTTTGTACATCATCGTTTTTATACTGGATAGAACTGATCGACCTCTTTTGGTAAATGAGCTTCTATGCAGATGCTATGAGACGTGTAAGGAAATGTAGACTGCCTGATTGGGGGTCATCAAGACGAAAGGACTTAGAAGTCGAGGACTCTTGGTTGACACAGCTGAAAATCGGTGACAATAGCGGAGATGTATTCACTCCTGAACATCTTGTAAAGCTTAAATATTTGCACTAATCTTCATCTTCAGATTGTTTATTCTCTTACACTATTCCGTCTAAGTTGATATTGTTCTGTTTTCTATCCAATTGTTCTTTGTTTATTACTGTAAAGCGTGGCAACTTGAACTGAGGATGCACTTCTGTTTGTGAGGATCTTTGTCAATTTTTTCACTTAGTTATAGTTTACTTGGCTAGCAGTGGAATCTAGGACGAGCGTTTCGTTCTATTTTGGACTCGTCAACTAGATGTACCTGCACCCCAATGAGTGATGTTGCTCCAGCAGAGATGCGAACCCTATGTCCATCGCTTCAAACACCAAAGTATTATCCACCAGGTATTGTCCCGCGCGTCTTGGATTCTACTGCTAGCCACTACTAAGCAAATTAGTATATAAGTAAGTTTTAGTATAATTCCAGCGTATTTATAAAATCAAAACAAGATTTTTCTGAACTTTTCGCTGTGTATGCTTCAGCTTCTTCAGTATTGAGCCAGTATAGGAAATAAAAACCACTGCATTTATTGGCCAATTCATGTTGTTTAGTTCTATGTGCTGATCCAATTCAATCGATCATTTTCCAGTTCGATTACTAGACTAAGAGACTAACCATCGCGGGTGGGATGTCAGTTCCGTCAGAGTTTGAGATACATACATCTTGCTGAGAAGTGCCAAAATATACAAAACCTAGTTGGAGAATGGCCTCCTTTCGGTCGCCTCTACCTATCCAACTAACGCCTCTCTCATAATGATTAACCTCCTAGCCTGGTGGCCACACTGCAAAAATTATTCGATAGAATTCGACTAACACTAAGGACAAGGCTACATGAAGTTGGTTACCCTCCAGTGATTAGTCAATGTATATATTCCACTCCTATAAGAGGTCAGCCACAACCCCAATAGCTCACTGCCAACGTTTCTGACGGCTGCACTGGGTGATGTAGGCTGGAATCTCAGGCGGACACCATTTACCTCGAGGTTACAGTTACGCCTTGCTCAAGAGTGCTGGAAAGCAAGAAACTTAGGTGAAACAGGGCTCCCTGCCGATGGCTTCCATCCAACTAACGTCTTTCTTAAAGTCAATGCGTTGGAATAAAATAGTTATCAATAATAATAATAATAATAATAATAATAATAATAATAATAATAGTGATGATAATAATAATAACTTTATTCTAGGCAATGAATCTGATGCAATATGGATTTCTCACCATGTAATTATTTCAACAAATTTACTCCCTGTGCAATATTTCAAATGAAATAATTGCAGCATTTTATTTAATGTTATTGATAACAGTAGACTAAACAATAATATATAACGACTAGCTGTTGTTAGACTACCATCTAGCCTATAGAGGTACCTTAATGTTGGCAGAGAGAAAGGTTAGAAAAACGTGTGTAAGTTTTAAAGTGGTAGTTTATTCAGGCAACACGAAAATTTGTAGTTCAACTTAACTATTTTAAGAATAATTAAGCAACGTATCAACCTCATTAGATAGCTATATAAAGACGCAGCATGCCAAGTGATTCACGGTTGAAAGCTCAGTGACGCCTTTAAAGTGAAGACAGGGAGGAGTAAGACAAGGCTTCCGCCTACTATCATCACCGATGATCTTCCTGATTGTGGTCGACTGGATCATGCAGCAAGCAGTGAGGAGCGAGAAGATGGGCATACCCTGGCTGGACCGATGAAAAGACCCTACACGATTTGGATTTCACCGATGATGATTTATGTCTAATGTCTTGTGGCATAAACTTGAAGATCTACAAGCGAAAACTAACAAGCTGACTGAAGAGACAGTGAAGACGGGACTTCAAGTGAATGTAGAGAAGACAGAGGTGATGAAGATACCCAACCAACACCACCAACAATAACAAGCTCCAATCACCACCAACGGGAGAAACCTAAAGGAAGTAGTCTCTTTCATCTACCTAGGCAGGGCAGCATCGTTTCAACCACAGACAAGGATGTCAAAGCCAGGATCAGAAGAGCAAAACAAACTTTCAATAATTTGAAATCACTGTGGAGATCTACTGCTCTCATCACAAAGAATAAGATCCTGATTTTAAACACCAATGTCAAGTCAGTACTTCTATGTGATATTTCACGAACTTGGCGTGTCACGAAAGCACTTCCAACAAACTACAGAAATTCATCAACAGCTGCCTACGCTGGCTCGATACTGAAGATCAGATAGATTGCCAGAATGATAAAAACAAGCAACACGGAACTCTGAGGACGAACCAACGAAGCAAAAACCTACCACTCAAAAAATATGCAGAAGGAAGTGGAGATGGATTTGGCGTACACTGAGAAGGCCGATTAGGGAAATCATGCGCCAGGCCATGCCCTCGAGTGGGACCCAAAGAGGAAACGACGAATTGGGTGTCCGAGGGTGGTGACATGAAGGAGATTGTGTGAGGAAGAAATGACAGCTTGTGGGCAGTCGTGGAGCCTGGTTCAAAGACTGCAGAGAAGAGAGTGCAATGGAGGCATGCTACTGAAGCCGTATGTTCTACTAGGAACCCAAGGGGAAAATAATAATAAGCAATCTTTTGTTGTACTGCACGCTTAAGGATCCATGAACATCTACCACGACATTTTTTCTTATTTTCATTATTATCTTGCAAAATGATAGGTTGAAAACATTTTGAAAATATACCAGATTACCTTAAGTGATTTATCAACATTTGAATGAATAAAACAGGCTTAAAAGGAACAATTCAATGTAATATGTTTGGTGAGAAATATCTAATACTACAAAGTGTAAGCACATCATGATAGTTCACACTTTTCAATTGATGTCAATTCTTAGTATGCTGTAGCCATCATCCAGTGTAATAGATAGATGTAACCCTATTTGCATACAAATCGGTTGACTCTACAAGTACTGACTAGAGTTTGAGGAAATGTTGTAGTGAGATCACTAATTGATGAGCTTTGCATAAACCATTAAATTTCCGAAAAATTATACAAATATCTTTTTATTTTACACTAAGTACCTTAGAAGACATGTTTCGTAGTCTCCAAATGCTAATGCTTTGTTAACTTCATAACTTAAGAATGCACAGTATTAATTCAGAAGACTATGCAGTCTACAAAGTGTATAAATCAAGTATTTTCACCCAACTACTTGTTAAAACAAAAGTCACTCTGTTCTGTGTATTTAATTTTCAGTCTGGAGATCCCCTGCATTAAAAAAGCCGTTAACATAAAATCTATCATTCCTGTCACAACTAAAGTCTATACATCTTGATAAACAGTTAGCCGAACTCCTTGAAGTCTCATATATCAGCTCTTTCTGTTGGAGGGGGTGATATATCAGTTTTACCACTAACTTGAGCAGTTAATGGGACTGAAATGACTTGAGAATCCTGACTTGAGTAGCCTGAAGTGTGCATATTCAATCAACCAATGAAATCCAAGAATTTAGTTGATACTGATAATTTGCCGTCGATACTATTAAACTGGATCCTAGTACTAGCCGCAATCAAGCCAGTTAAATCATCGTACAGTTGGTAAAGCAAGTACCTACATGGAAGCTATGCATTATTATTATTATTATTATTATTATTATTATTATTATTATTATTATTATTATTATTATTATCATGAGACAAAGTGGATTGTTAGTAGACGTGGATGAGGATGTTTGTAGTTATATACTGTATTACTTACTAATAAGTAGTAGTATAAATGAAATCATAAAAGTTTATTGAGAGTAGCATTCATCACAAAATGACACTAGTTGATGAAACCTGGACAAACTGGAAGGACTTCAAGAAGTCTCTCCCTCATGGTGTTGTGAGTGCACACTGCTTCAGTGTCCCATACTAGGACGAAATAGTTATCACGGCTATTGATGGTTCTCCAACTGATGCGAGATTATGAGGAGTACAGCCTTGAAACCAATGAGTTAATCTCTACTAACAATTAACGAGTTCTAATAAATTTCGTGTTAATACGTTAGTAATTTTTGGCTTGAATTGTAGAACTCTATTATGTCAGAATTAAAAACACGCGTAGAAGAATTAAAAATGGAGAACGAGTATCAATTACGCCTCAAAGATATGAACTATAATGAGCGTATTAAAGAGTTGACTGAAAAGTTTATCCAAGAAATGGAGACACTAAAGACAAAGAATCAATTATTGAAAACAGAAAAAGAACGTGAAGATACCATCATCAAATTCAACTACAAGAAATTATAGAAAAGCATAGTCAAGAATTACAAAATTTAGAGTCAATATCAAATCAGAAATTGATCATTGAATATGAAAAGTATCAAGATTTACAGAATTTAACACAACGTAAGGAAGCAGAATATGAGAAACAATTACATGATATGGAAGTATCCAAGGAGCGCCTATTAAACGAAACAACAGAATTCTATGAATCAAAGATACATGATAAAAATACCGCCATGGAGAATTTAACACGTGAATTAAAAGAACAAACTAATGAATATGAAGTATCCAAACGTTTGATTGAAGAAGATGCAGATCGTGAAATACTTGAAATAAAAATTAAATATGAAAAGCGTTTACGTGAAGAACGTGAAACAAATTCCCGCTTGAAAGGGGAATCAGGGATTATGAAAAAGAAATTTGCAAGTTTACAAAAAGAAATTGATGATCATAAGGAAGAAATTAAAAAATTCCATGCTGAAACACAAAACTGAATATCGTTATACGTAATCAAGAGAAAGATATACAAGGCTTAAGGAAAGAAGTACAGGAACGTGATGAAACAATTCAAGATAAAGTAAGTGGCTATCTTCAACACTTTTCTATTCTCGATATACCGCTGAACAATATGAGAAGTTAGAAATAGATCACACTGACCTGTAGACTTCATCAACCAGATGAGTGTCATCACCGGCTGTTCAGTGTTCAGACCACTCCGATTTGGTTAGCGCATAAGTCCCTTCTAACTACTCATATTGTTCAGTAGTATGTTTCATTAGTTCATGGAAAAATATTGCAAGAAGTGACGCCTTTTGATCTTGCTTGCAGGGTGGTTTCCAACGAAAACTCTGTTAACTGGTGCCACAGTTGGGCAGTCGAAAAACGACTCAGCTGTGAGAAATGTCAGTAAAGAATGTAAATTCTCTTATTTAAAAGAATCCTGCTTAACGCTTATCAGAAGTATGGATCATTCATTTATCCCCTTATGGATCAATCTGAATTTATGTAATTATCTTTAATGTTGTTATGGCTTATTAATCTCCATCGTTGATTGGACTAGAATGATTGGCAACTATTGATTACTGGGCTCCTGTGAAGTTGCATCAATATTGCCGGAATTTTCAAATGTGATAGTAGTGATGGGTATTATCCAGAAGTGGAATCTAGGACGCATATCCTGTACTATTTGTTACGTGTCAGCCGGATGCATTCGCCTTCCAAAGAGGTGTGTTATACCCACTAGGACGTGAGCCCAGAACCTACCGACAGGAACCCTAGTACGCTACCCACTGGACTACTGAGCCATAGAACGAATCTCTTGTTTGATGGGAAAAGTATAGTTTCTGATATAGCTTGTTTAAATAAACGTCGTCTTCTAGCTACACTATCAAAATTCATAGAACTGATTGTTTTGAAGGATATTTCCATTTTAGTTGACTTATTAGATCCATCACATAGTGAAAGAACAGTATTGTTTACTGGATAACATTTAGGACACAATGTACCGCGCATAGGCATATCAACTTTTAAACATCCTTTATACAGCCCTAATTTTCTCACCCCCTTTGTGATATGGGTAGTAAGATTTTCCATATATTCAGAATAAGTTCTGAGTCATTCCTGTTGCATGTATTATGTGTTGATTCGATAAACAAAGATTCGTTTATCAATCTTTCCCTCCATCCTACTAGTTTAGCTTTAAGGATTTTCACTCTTTCATATCCTATTGTGTGGTTGTGTGTAATTGCATGCAAAGCGATGGTAGAGCTTTTTCTTAGATTCCTTACTCTACTAGGAACTACCAGTTTTGATCTAGCTAGGTTTTTGTGTTCAGGTAGACTAATTGACCCTGGTTGATTACTTTCACCTATGTATTTGACCTGGTAATGGTTGCAAGGGATATGATAAATTAAATAATTCTGCCTAGTTGGATCGATAGGATAAGCTTATTTCTAAGTGAGTTTGTAGGTTTAAATGCCAACCACTCTAATCCCAGCGTTGTTGAGTATCCTATGTAATGCCTGTGGGGTGCCTTCTTTGTATAGTAATACTGCAGAGGTTTTAGATTCCTTCTTCAAAGTATTGCCACTATTATTTCTAATATTATTACTATTATTACTACTACTGTGAATACCTGTGTTACTAATATTAGTCAAGTTTTTCTAACGATTCCTAAGGATCTTATCAGCTAATTTGGGTGGGCAGTTGTTGATGAGTAAGGTGTCCTTAATGTATCTGGTTTCTTGTCTTTTCTTCAGAAGAAAAATATAACTAATATTAGTAACACATGTGCTAACAGTAGTAATAATAATATTATTAAATATAATAATGGCAATACTTTGAAGAAGAAATCCAAAACCTCTTCAGTATTACCATACAAAGAAGGCACCCCGTAGGCATTTCATAGGATCCTTAATAACGCTAGGATTAGATTGGTTGACATTTAAACCTACAAACTCACTTAGAAATTAGCTTTATTGCTTGAAAGATCCTACTGATCCAATTAAGCAGAGCAACTTAGTTTACTTCTTTAATGAATCAGTGAAACTGTCATCAACCGGTCACTTCTGGATGCCAGCTGTTCTCCATCTATCCAAATTTGCACAGTTGAACAGTATCATCAGTCTAGACTCATCAGGTGTCATGTATACCCTAGTACCGAATCCCAATATGCTTTTCAAAAGCGCCATTATCCATTTGTTTTTAAAAAAAACGTTTATCCTTCTTATCCTTGATTTGAATTTTTGTTATGCTAAACTAAACAGAATATTATTTGTTTTCCCATTGGTTTGAAATTTAAATTGTAGGAGAAAAGAATTTATGATTTAAAGAAAAAAAATCAAGAATTAGAAAAATTTAAGTATGTTTTAGATTATAAGATAAAAGAACTGAAAAAACAAATTGAACCAAGAGAGAATGATATAAAAAATTATAAAGAACAAATTCAAGAAGTGAGTTCATTCAACTTTGATCATGATTTTTGTTCACTCAATTGATCCTTGTGGGGGTTACTCACTACAAATGACTTGAGTAGCCATTGCTATTGTCACTTTGAGCTTGTTTGTTTGGTGAAATCACAACACAGTGATACAGCATTATTTAAATCATAACCTTTCAAGCATAAATTAGTACTATTGTGATCTAAACAGTGTAATGAGAAGACGAAGATTATCTGAAACATGTCGTGATGTATTAGCGCTATACATTTCGAACAATCTGATCACACATGGACTTGTCGAACTATTTATGTGAAAATTTACGAAAAAGTTCAATGAAGTTAATAGGAAACATAGGAATAGGAAGGGATAGCAAAAAAAGAAAGGAAAACCTTACACTTGGTATGACAATTAAAATCAATACTACCAAGGTAGGTTCAACATGAGTACGAAATGTTTTTGTATACATAAAGGGGGTTTAAATTTACAGATGGCAAGAGCTTCAATAAATTTAAGCACTCGGCTCTGACCACTTTTATGTAGTACTTTAAAGGCTGTTTTCATGTCTATCCTATGGTTAGTTTCTAGTATATGTTTAGTGATAGACGAAGATGGATGTTTGTCACCTGCACTTATTGGATTTGTTGAGGTCATTTGTTTTTGTAGCCACTTAGGTACATGTTCAACCTTCCTTAACCCCCTTTATGTATACAAAAACATTTCGTACTCATGTTGAACCTACCTTGGTAGTATTGATTTTAATTGTCATACCAAGTGTAAGGTTTTCCTTTCTTTTTTTGCTATCCCTTCCTATTCCTATGTTTCCTATTAACTTCATTGAACTTTTTCGTAAATTTTCACATAAATAGTTCGACAAGTCCATGTGTGATCAGATTGTTCGAAATGTATAGCGCTAATACATCACGACATGTTTCAGATAATCTTCGTCTTCTCACTACATTGTTGTGATCACCTGATTTGTATAGTCCTACCACCTACCTCATATTTTTTTGTTTTTAGTGGTAGTAAAGTTTTCCGATATGACACACTACTGTGTATCATATAACGGCAGCACGACTAGGAAGGAATTTAAAGCCTCTATTATGTTATCATATAAGGAAACAATGTCAGAAACTTTACGTAGGATCCTCAACAAGGCTGAAATTAGGGTGGTATTTAAATCTACAAACTCACTCAGAGATAAACTTTGTCGGTTTAAGAACCCTATAGATCCAATTCAGCAAAATAATCTAATCTACCAAATTCTATGCAATGGCTATAAGATCAGTTTCATAGGTCAAACTAGCCGGTCGGGGTCGATTAGATTAGCGGAACATAAGAATTTAGCTGAATATAAAATGACAGACCCGAATAAGATCAATAGTCCTGAAGCAGCTTGGCTAATGCAATGCCTAAAACAACACACAACCACACAACAGGGTGGGATAAAACCACTGTACCGCCTAAGTCCAGTATAATTCGATGGAGAGACAGATTGATTAGCGAATCTTTGTTACTCATAATAACACCCAACACACATATGGAATGATATAAGATCTCATACGGGAGATGTGGAAAATTTTACTACCAATAAAACAAAGAATGAGTGGAGGTAGAACTATAAAAATTGAATGTCGAAAGTTAGTTATGTGATTACTGTGATATAATTTGTGAGCAATAAATAATGCTGTAAATGTCGTCCAATAAATAATATCAAATGAAGAAATCTAATATGGAACTACATTCTATTACAGTGCTCAAGTTTTACACTTACATTAATGTGTTTGTAGCCTGTTTAACTTGCTGTTGGTGTTGCTGTCGATGGTGGTGTCAGCGTCTATCCAGGAGTTTTGTAATTGAGTAAGGACTATAAAACTGGCTAATTTCTTGAGAGTATAATGATTCACTGACGCATACACTGTTGATTGTATTGTTCACTATAACATAATGGATATTCACACTGTATTGAGGTATGTGCATAAGATCCTGACTGCCAACAGAGGGCTAGTAACTGTATCTACTATAATTATCCACTAACAACGACTGATACCGATTGCACAAAAGGTGACTATGTTAACTCACTGGTCTAGTGGGTTATACGTCGACGTTTAAGGTGATGGAGTGAAAGTAAGTCCAGTTGATGAGTTTCAAATAGGGTGAAACGCACATTCTGTATTCAATAGTTATCCATTAAGTACACTACACCATAATGTTGACTGTATTTTACAATAAATGTCAATATGATTTGATTTTTTCCCCGTTCTAGATACTACTGAATGAATTCGATAAGGAGACGATGATTTTCCAGATGATTTGATTGCATAGCATCCCTTTCATTTACTAATTAAGCACAATGGAATTCAATGTATACGAGTAGAATTTAAGGGAGTAATTCCATTAAGGCCCACTTATTACATGTACCACCATAGAATGAAACAGTGTTCTTCATTGGATAGAGCTTTTAACACAGTTTATTGTCTCCACTGATGTCAAGATGATACCAAACCTCTGAAATTATTGTTTATACTCTTCAGATCACTTGTAATGTTTCGTCTTAAGAGTAGTAGAATTTCTGGGATATCAGGAGGAATTACACATTCCCTTGTATTATATATACTCGCCTGGGTGATTTTATAAACAAAGAATCAATGGGGACATCATCTGACCCAGTGTTAAGAGATTGTTTTATGGCAAAGTTAGAAGATAATGTGGTTCATCCAACAGTTGGTAGTTCCTACTCATCTGAAAGATATATAGATGATACATCAGAATTCGAAGAAAACTAGGAGTTTCGTTTCCTTGATTTCTTACCGAAGCTGGAAACGGATAATTCACTCCACAGATTAATCTAAAAGAAACTGAAATGGAATAAATAATACATGAATATCCATAGCTGGACACTACTCAACAAAAATGGTAATCTGATTCACTCTTTAAATGAGATGATCAATTTACAAGTGGTTTGTAGATTCCATTGTCCATACTGTCATTTCTCACTTATGAATACTACAGGGTTCCCACTAACAAGCACCCCAAGACCACAAAGTGTCATCAATGATTAAAAAGCGTCATGAACAAACGAAATATACTACTAAAATACTTGAGTAATTAGAAACGACTTTGGTGAAGATCTGTAGATTTCGCCAGCCAGATGAGAGTTATCTAGACACTGAACGGCCGTTTCGCTTCTTTGATACTAAGCTCATCAGCGGTGTACCCAAACAAATTCAGCTCACACAACCGAATTGAATTGTTGTTGAAATGAGCAGTTCAATTCAGTGGTTAAAGTTGCCTGGGTAAGCCGTTGATGACCTCGTCACTAAACGAACGAAACGGCCGTCAGATGTTTAGATCACTCTAAGCTGGCTAGCGAGGTGTACGGAGCAGCCCCCGGATGGTTTATAACTACTCAAGATGTTCGATAGTACATTTTTATTCATTCTTTGTCATGAATAACACTATCGATGATGAGCTGGACAAACTCGGAGAAGTTGTCATGCAAAATGAACTTCAGGCAGATTTCTTTAAAAAAGGTTAAAATTTAATCAGAATATTGAGCAAGCATTCATATCTTCAAAGAAGATTTCATTGATGAATGCTGACTTCAAAGATGATATGACGCCAGAGATCTTAATGTATTGAGTGTCCAAATCACCGAGAGAAACATTTTTCTCTACCAAGCTACAAATCACCTTGTCTAGTCATTAAATTATTTCAAACGCATCTCGAAGTATTATCGAATATGAGTATTGATGAGAGAAGGCAAGTTAATTAGAAGTTGAGTTCTTGAACATTTGGTCAACTATGAATATGTAGATCCATCAGAATTCTCCTCCACCTATAGAGTTGAAAGAAACATTTAAGAAGAAGAGCACTTTCAAAACAGCTAATTTCCATTCTTAATTTCTAGCTTAATGATGCAACTATACCCTATTGTTCTATAATAGACTGTTATATGTTTGTGATATGGATGAATACAGCTATACAACTTTGGAGAGATAACGCCGTTAAAAAAGAAAACTTTCTCTACTGAATTGCTTCTTCTTGATAACTTTTAATGGACATCTTTCATCATCTAAAGAATCGGTTACCAAACTCTTCTTCGACAAGACTAGCTTTCTTCAAGATCATCATTTTGTCCAATCCTCGTGTATGACTAGAACAAATAATATACAAATAACTCAGTAATTATTAGGCGTACTCGGATGACTCTAATTCTTTAATAACAAAAGAGGATAGAGAGATCTATGACAATCAAAGTCAGGCACCAAGTTCGTCGATTTACACTCCCGATATTCTTACCCAGTTAATAATTCTACCTCACACACTATAATACACTTTATGAATAGACTGAGTTTTCAAATGAAAATGTTCAGTTAAAACTCAATTACAAACCAAATTTTCATACATATATTCGCACTGTATGAACATGAATAGAGAAAGAATAACAATTGAAGGAAATCTTCCACTGAATATACTTCATCAAATTCTTCCCTTTTAATTTGTTTTAATCTTTTAATATGTCACTTAAACGCATCATATACTCTTGCACACTTTTAAAATGGTTCCGAACTGCCATTTTTCAAGCTAATAATAAAACAAGAAGAAAACTTTACACCAGTAAGAGATGGGTTTATAAATGCATAGAAATATAGTATATTACTATTACTTGGATAACTGTACTGAATCGTAGATTTTGGTACTAGATGAATAAACTACCATCACCAAAAATTAAGTTTGAGTTTCTAGTCATATACCAGTCCAAACCAGACTCTAATGTAATACCAGATGTCTGTTTCATACTGGAGCTTTGTTTATTATTATTATTATTATCAACCTTATTCAAATGCAGTGATTATTTAGCCTAGAGATATTGTAAAGGGAATGAATTTGGTGAACTATTACACGTTGAAGATTTCATACTGCATGACGAGTATTGTTTACAATAAAGCTATTATTATTATTATCAAAAAATAATATGATTCCATTTCGTTCCGTTGGTTCTTCGTCGGCTAACAGGAAGTAGTTTATACGAACTCAGTGGCTTGATGGGTTGACCAAGAAAGCAATTTGAGCATGGGAATTCATTATAAAACTTAAATCGAGTTACTTCTCGAGATATTTTGCAATATATTGTCACCGAAGAATTCAGCGACTTAAAAGTATCGGCAGGGAAACATTTCTTCCGAAATTTTATCCACATACTTCCCTATATGAACTTGAATAAAGAAAGAACTAAGACTGGAGGAGAATAACATAGTACCATTTCATTCCATCGGTTTCTCATTAGCTGTGCATAACACCTAAAACACTTAAGAATCACATCACAAAATCAGTTGAACGTATTTTTTTCAGTTTAATGAAGTTAGTCAGCGCGCACGGATAAAGTTAAAAAGACATGCTGAGAATTCTCAGTTATGCACATGATTCAACAAAGAGTTTGAGAAAATGATGTAGATAGCAATGAAAGACTACTTAAGAAGGTGAGCAAGTCGGCTGGTTAGTGATAAATAGGCAGAAAACTTATGTAATCAGGTAATGAATTGAACTCAGCTGGTGGAATGATCATCAACATTATTTATGAACAGAAAAAGTGTTCAATAAAAGATGATGGCATGTAATAAGGCATAGAGTAAAGTATCAGGTTACCGTGAGAAAGAAAGACTTATCACCGCTTCTTTTTGAACAGTCATTTGATAGCTACAGTTTTAGCAAACTTGAGAAGGTTTAAATTACGTTGTTTTCAGATTACTTTCAAGGATTCCAAGTTATCTACTTGATTTCCATAGTTGATTAGATACTGAGTGACTGCACTACTGAAGTGACTGAACCAGTACCAAACACATATCTCCAAAACCAACGTACAACTACTGTCATATTGTGCCAAAGCATTTCAGGATTCTGTTGATCACCACTTTCTTGAAGTACAAAATTATACATTACCAAGCAGAGACTATGCAAATCTCAGAAAACAGGAGAAAGAAACAGCATTTAGGGTGTATCTTAACAATGTAACCATGTAAATGCGGTTAGAAATGAGCGCTTGATTGCTAATAGTTAGCTTTTAGGATCAGTTGTCAAACCTTTCCTTTTAGCCATAGAGTTTGATCCTGCCAAGAAGGTTAACAAATAATTTATGCATAGTTCTGTTCAGTTTCTTTGTGAGCTGCTGTGAAGTGAGATCACTTAAAGAGTTATACTTCTGTATGAACTTCAAATTTACCTTATCTATCTTCCGATTCGTCTATCGTTTATAATTCAAATCGATTCCTAGGACCTCTTACTGATATTTAGCTGGATAAGTAATACCTTCCCTTCTAAATATCTTAGGAAACCAATAAACACAGAATGCACTCGTGACCAATGAGATCCAGTTTGAGTTTTCCAGATCATCACACAGGTATACACATGAATATCTAATCGACCGAACCGATGAAATCAGGAATTCTAAGCCTTGTAGATAAATGTTAAACGTATCATGGTCACATGTAAACACATTATATGTGTATATATATGCCGAAGTATTATGTACGTAACCAACCTTATAATATACCTGCTGTTTCACTGTCTTTTCCATGAATCGAATAAGCATCAAGCATTGAATTTGTATGGAATTATTCAATTCATAACGAAGTAAGTTGTGTCACTAGTGATGAAGAAATACATTACTCTGTAAACTTCTCTTCTTGTAATAGTACTTTCAAGACGTGATGTCATTCGAATAAGTAGTTCTTCTGAGTATGTATTGCAACACAATTCTTTCATATTTTTAAGTTATACTCACTGAGTAAGCAAGAGTCAATGTAGTGTAGTAAGTAGTAGTAAGTAACTCTCTGGTATTCGAAGTGATGGGTGCTGAGTTGGAGTCTGTGTGTCAATAACATCACTCACTAGGATGCACGTAAATCTAGTTGATGAGTCTCAAAAGGACGAAACTCATGTCTTGAGCTAAGATACTGGTAAATATCCATCATTTCATTTCACTTGAGTTCACTATTTTCTATAGAAGAAAAAACACCAGCATATATATCACTTATTATTTGACTATCTGAGATATTCGTAGTTTGGCAGACTAGTATTTATGCTGGGTGGACCTCGTAGCTCAGTTGATAGAGCATTGGGCCGGAAACCCGGTGGCCACTGGTTCGAATTCGGTTGCGGTTCAGATTTTCATTTCATCTTCAATCATCATCCAGTATATATATCACTAGCTGCAAAATTTGGAATTTTCATTCTTTTAAAGCCGTTTAACACGATTTTTGTCGAACCAGACTAACAACTGTTTCAATATTATCTCTGTGAGTACTTCAGTATTTCTCAATCTCCTTATATTTTTGATGAAAAACATTTCTAGTTTTCTATGACAAATTCGAAATAACCAACTCATACCTGTTTATTTGTTTGTTTTTTCTCTCACTAGATGGAAGCGGAATTAGAACGATTTCATAAGCAAAATGATCAACTTGAAATAAATATTACTGAATTAAAACAAAAGTATAAATCAGTTGAACATGAATTGAAACTTGAACGTCAAGCAACCAGAGATGTGGAATCATTAGTTCGTAGATTGAAAACAGATTTGTTTAATTGTGTCGGATTTATTCAAGAGCCGAAACAATTGAAAGCTGGCATATTAGCATTGTATAAAAAGCATATTCATGAAGATATGGTGAGTGTTTATTGATGCTAAATGGTTTAAAATGACCAACTTAGGCAGCATGGAGCAATATTTCATGATTTAAACTGTCTATGAGGAGGGCGTAAATCCCTTTTTATCTTCCATTTACACCTTACAGATGAGTTCCAGTAAGTATGAAACACACGATCAACTAAAGCTTCTTGTCAACTGACTACCATTACATAATATCACAGTGTTATGTTACACAATCTAGACAGTATACTTAAATTGTTCAGCTAGTAAACTTTGACCAACAAGGCCACAATTTTGTGGAGTACAACCGTAAACAATGAAAAACTGTGTTCTTAAATCAACTTCTAATAAATTTTTCCATAGGTTACTCATTCCATTGTGTTCCTTAATACAATATGTCAGGAATGTGGTCATAACAAAGATAATTATAGTTTCATTGACTCATTTTCAATGCGGTACATTCGTAAATGTATAATTCAAAGGTTGAAACGCTACAGATAAAGCTTAGTTTCAATCGAACAGCGAAAAAAAGTATAGAAATTAAGCGTCACATAAAATGGATAAAATCCTGGAGGGTTGGAGAATGAAAAATGGGAAATGTACTAAAAATAAAAACATGAGACAGTGAAAATAAAAATTACAATGAAACAGTTGGGACTTGAATTTTCAGACTGCTAATACTTCAGTTGAACACAAATGTCTTATTCTCAAATCTTTTCGAAAATTCGGTCAAACCCTGAAGAGGATATAGAATGACGTTTCAAGAGGAGCTAGATGTTCAGCCATAAACCCAATGATAGCCTTCTTTTCACATTTCACCAATCTTGCGTAAGCAATGAGTACTTTGATCATCTTTTGAACAAAATAATTCCAATAAAAAAATGTGTATCAGACGTTACACAGATCACAAATAAATCCGACGGGGAGACTGTTGGTTCATTCAGTAAAAGTGCATTTTATATCCAGTATACACATATAACTGCCGTCCACTAGCTTAATAAGACACACGGAGACGGAATTAACGTAGAACCTCGCAACCATCTGCACCTTTGTGACCGACTTTCAGCCACTGGGGATCCCAGCTGGCTGACATCAGCAGTCAGGGACTTCATCGACTCGTGTCACTTCTTTGTCTGACCACTATGAACCGTTTTCAACGTATTCCAGCTTCTCCTAGCATGGCATATCGAGGGTGACGGTGGCTTGGTATGTGGATTACACGTTCAAGGCGTGTTAGTTGAATAAGTTTCTCAACCTCATCAGTCGACTTGCCCATCTTGCTTAATACCCTTCGCCTGACCTTAGCATAGCACCCACAAGGATTCCACCAAACTAAAGCAATGCTATGAAAACATCTATGATCAAAACCCTGCAGCTGCTTGATGTCTTCTTCCTTCAATGGCCAAGTCTTACAGCTGTACAACAGGATTGCAGCGCAGTATACTCATCCTTTGATAAATAGTCAGATATCTCGCCAGTCAGAGCCACAGTCGGCAAATGTCAAACGGTCTTCTGGTTTCGGACCTGAAATTTCGACAGCAACAAGCCCGTTTGACGGGCTGGTGCAACTCCGAAAGTGAAGTGGTCGATGCATTCCACCACTTTACTACCTATCATTAAATTGAGAGCAGTTGCAGACCAGTTCTGGATCATCATCCTGCATTTGACAGGTGCAAGACGCATGCTGAACATACTTAGACTTCAACTCAACGGGTTCGGAAGGCCCGAGATTTTGTCAACGTCTTTACCCATAAGGATGATGTCGGCTGCATACTCTGAATCAGCCAGACGATCTCATCAGGAGATTTATGAGGTTTAAAAATGAGTTTACTGTTTGTAACCTTGCAATGAAGATTCAGCAACGTCTTAGAATAACTATAAACACATGGTCGAAGAATAACTTAACAACCATCTCGATCAATATGCAATGAGTTTATTCCTAGGCATGGTAGACAGATTCATTATTGTTGGACCTTTCTCAAAAGTACGTCAATCTATGTCACTGTCTTTTGCAGCAGCCTAGAGAGTGAATATCAGCATGAGAACTGGCATCACTGCATAACAGTCCAAGTTGATGCACCTCATATCAAGATACCAAATGAGAATGCAACAGGATAAAAGATAGAGAAGTAAGGAAGAAAGTGTTCAAAAGTGACAGAAAGTCATGAAAAGAGAACAACGAGGAAATGAAAAATAATAAACATTTTAATAACGGTCGACATAACGATAATATGTTGATGTGTCTAGGCCACTGCAAAAGATCGTAAGTCATATCACCTACAGTATCCAACCATCAAATTCTTTCGTCACCTAGACTCCAACTGGGAATCCTACACTTCTGTACACGACTCATTTAAGCAATGAGAGACTTCATGGACTGATGCAATGTCGTAGTCTTCCTCCTGAACCTGCTTTAGCCAACATTGAACGATGAGTCAGACGGTGACCAGGCGTTGTAACACATGATGTCATGGTTGTTTCGTGTTCTATGAGCTATGATATTTCATCATGGACGTTTCACCACCAGCCTTAGTGGCATTCCCAGCATTATCTTCATAAATCGAGAGAAGGAAATTTCTATATGAGGCTAGTGCTGTGGATGTCACCAAGCCTGGTGACGAAATGTTCAGGCTGTGTCAAATCTCAGAGGTTATATCAAACCACTATCATCCTTTTTCTGAGCTACAAATCTTTTCGATCCGGCTGATATTCATCAATGACTGACATTGGTTGGGGAACCATTACAAACTTAGGAGCACTGGAAAGCTGTCTCGTCCTAGTATGAGCCTCCTCAGCAGTTAGCATCCACAATCTTCAGGTCTCACTGCAAACAAGTTACTATTTTTCCTCCTTTTGTCAATTCACGATATAGCGCGACCATTATCTGATGCCACTGCAGAGTATTTATCCTCGGACTTGACTTGTTTCACCCCACAGGTCACGACTTCGCACTAGGAATTTGAGATATCTATCTCGAAACATGTCACTAATGAAGAGTAGATGGTTGGTGGGAATCGGTCGATTTCAAACCTTGAAACTGAAAAACTGATATATATATTTTTAAATAATGAACGGCAATAACAATTACAATATACTTCTCAGTGAGTTGCGAATGAATGAATGAATGTGATTTGTCAGTTCCAGTAGCAAAGGCTGTCCATTGTACTGACCAACAGTCGATGTGTAACAGTCAATAGCCATTAACATTGAACCTTTCAATGTTTCAATAATCGACTGTAAAAAAAATAAGGTCTAACTTTGGTCGAAAGAGTTAAGAAAATAATTCATATAATCGGTATATGATTCATTATCAAAAGCAACAATTAGAAAAATGGAGAACATTTTTTTTGACAAATATCCTCATCAGGTTCTACAATTGCGAAATGCATTCGTACAACGTAAAATCAAGCCAAGTTTTGGGTAGATACATTTTCAGAATGGAGTGAGATTTAAGGATTGAAAAGAAACTAGTTTTGCTTTTTTAAATTTGTCAATATCGTGAATGGCACATATACAGATGAATCATATGATGGTGAATGAATAGTCACTGAATAAAGAAGACAGGATTGGCCTTTGTTTTATTGAAGGCCAAGGAAGTAACTAACCTTTGGATATGATCTTTCTGAATGCAGACTTCAAGTTTGATGAATCTTATTGCCATACCCTTAGGTATGTTATTGAGCAGGTGGTACTGTATGACACTGAAAGCCTTATTACTATCTATCAGCTGTCTAACTATTAGCACACTGATGAAAACTATACCAACGATTCGATACGTTTTCATGAAGTACTAATGGCAAGGAAAGATAGTTTTAGACTGAGAAGTATGTACATATACACATACATACACACACTTTCTCAGCTTTGCACCAATGAAGCAGAAACGTAATGCAATCAGGTGCCAAGCATTCAGAGTAAGATCGATTTGTTCGATGGAGTGTGTGAGAAAAGAACTATTGTGTATCCCTGATATTCTGAGTTAAAACGAACATTCTGGAAATTTCGTCAAAGCTAATATCACTTGCAGTAATCCTAAACGAGAAGAAGCCTTTGTTTGTGTGACTGTAATTCAAGCTAGACGCTCCAACTAACATCCTATCACAACCCCTAGCTACAGCAGTTAATACAACGTTTTATGCAGGTTGTCTTTGGATATCTTCAATAGTCGGCCGATACTCAGTCTGAGACTAACAGAGAGTCTACCTAATATTACCTCTTCATCTTGGACATCTCAATTTAACTGTTCCTGTGGAACAAGGTTCATAAGGCGTATGATTAGGTAAGTGCATCATAAGGCTAAGCCTGGTTTGGAAAAGGTAAAATGAAAGTGGTATAGTGTTCCATTTTAGCACACTTGGTAGACACAGGATATCACATAGATGTTAATAAAGCCTTCATTGTCATGCATCACATGCCAAAAACAATACTACGCGTAACTCTTAAACACCTAGTCAATAAGATAGTTGAGGCTATCATAATAAGACTGATAAAACCAGAATTTTCTATTCAGGAAGATCATGTTCATGCGTTATTGCTCTAATAGTCTTTAAACCATGTAAAGGCTCCTTCTGTCTTCCTTATTGTTGTCTTTTCGTTCACCATCAAATTATTCATGTGTATATATATGTCATCCTAATATTCGCAAGGAAGAAGGAAAAATAAAAGTCTATTCCCTTATAGTTCTTAAATCTCACTCCATTTTGAAAATATATCTTTACCTGTACCTTAGTTTATTCTTACACTCTATATATGTATTTTGTGACTGTAGAGACTGGTGAGAATACCCACTGAATAAAGTATTCTTTGTTGTTTAAGTTTTTGCCTTTTATTAATGGTAACGTCACCGATTATCTCGTCACACAATGTTGGCCGAAGTAGACCCAGGCTGGACAAAGGCCCTAGGTGGCCAGACTAAAACATGACATCAATGTATGAAGTCTCTGACTGTTGGTTTTAGCCATTTTGGGCGATGCAGACTAGCCAGTTCTGGTTGGCGGGACAAGAGGAACCAGTGGTTGGAGACTGACTCTAGTTGATATGGCTCAGAACCGATGTCAGTGGTGTAGATGTATCCCCACACACATTCTCCTCATCTTAACGACGCTATACCGAATCTCACCAGTTTCTCTTTCTTTCTCTCTTTGAGTAAGTTATATTTCTTTTGACTGAATTTTCTTATCTTCATCTTGCACCTCACTACCTTTCTACTTGATGTACTGATATGATGTGTGGCATCTTGGACTGTTACGTAGTAATGCCTGGTCTTATGTTGATATTGATGATGATGAATGTTACGGGAATCTTTAAATGCTGGATTCATTAAAAATCAGACTTTCTGAAATAGGTATGATTTGGTAGACTGATGTTGTTGTTATTGAGTACTGATTAAAGATTTGAATCCTGCCATGAATCCACTTTTTATTCCACCTTCAAGCATCACCTGGTAACTGTAAAGACCATAATACTAATAAAACAGCCAGAAGGCAGCTTGCAATCCAAAACCAGGTTTAGACTGGATCAAAAGAGCCAACTGTTTTCTTTCTGTGTGTATGACGCACTCTGTGTAGCTGAAATTTATCCCAAAGGTAATAAAACACGATTGATAAGGTTTCATCTGCTGTATTATTTAATCCTTATACAATATATAAAAAGAAGGTAACTAGGTATGGAACTTTGGCTCACTGGTCTAGGCGGTTAATTTTCAAATGATTGGTCATGGGTTCGTAGTCATCTGCACATACCGAGGTTGGACAGCTAGGTGATATCATTAGCTATCACATATTAAGTCTAGTTCATTGCCTGCTGCACAAATATGCAGAAGATTTTTGCCATTCGATTCGAGGTACCTCAATAATGCCACCTTGACGCTACACAGTCAACAACAAATTCCTTTGATATAAGAAGGTAATTATAATAAGAATAATATTGATAAAGGAAGGATACGAAGATTAAATTAACAAAGGGGAAGGGGAAGCTAGTGGAGGTGGGAAAATGTTATGGCCATAGTAAAAACATTGACCGTACATGCTTCTTCAAGTACACATGGATCAAAAGAACCCAATTGCCAGTCTGCAAGAGTCAGATCAAACGAAAAGAATGCCTTAGGCAAGCAGTCAAATCAATACCACTGTAATGGCTTCTTCTTATACAACCTTGAGCAGGATAAGACAACACTCTAAAAAGAAGAAGATAAGACTTGAAACAAGCAATACAATATTAAAGTTGAATAAATTGGATTAATGCAAGTGAATACAACTATGTCTTTATCAAAAATAAGGGGACTGATCTAAGTACTTCTTCGACAATTTGGTTGGTTGAGGCTAACAGAAGAGTTTGAGCAACATCAAGCGTAAGAAACCAAGACATTAAGAATTTGAAGAAAAAGATGTTCAACAAAGAGACTTTTTTCAACTAATTTATTTTCAAGCTGTACATCCGTATATATATATATATATATATATATATATATATATATATATATATATATATATATATATATATATGATGATGACGATGACAATAATAATAAGATGGGTGATGACACGAGTATTTGTGATTATGATAACAGTTGAAGTATGAGTGAAAACAAAATAGATTACGCAATATATGGAATGGTTCATGGAAGGTACGCAACTCAGAAAGGGGTTAGAACGTTGATGCAGGTGGAAAATCAATTAAGTATTATGTAATAGGATTAGACAAGTTGGTCAGGATGAAATCAATGTTTTCTAAAATGACAACTAAGTGAAATAACACCGAAGGCTAATCAAAGTGAAGGTAATTATAATAAGAATAATATTGATAAAGGAAGGATACGAAGATTAAATTAACAAAGGGGAAGGGGAAGCTAGTGGAGGTGAGAAAATGTTATGACCATAGTAAAAACACTGACCGTACATGCCTCTTCAAGTACACATGGATCAATAGATCTTTCTTCTCAGAAAGATTTCGATAGACTTTTACCAACCGTAAACATGTTGATTCTTTTTTTATCATCGAAAAATTTCAATGTAAATATTATTTTCGTTAAATAAACTGCTGTATACTGCTAATAAAAAAAATTTACAATTTACAATTACCAATGGTGAGTAAAAGACAATTAGTGTTGTTTTATTATTGAGTGTTGTATTTTTTTCGTTTAATCACCAGCATTCTACTTCTGGAAAAATGTATTTCTTCATTGTCAATCAACCAATTTCTGTTATTTGTTGTTCGTTTAATTTTACTGTTTCTGATTCCAAAATTCTGAGGTTCTACAACCAAACAAGCAAGCTGACTTTCACAGACAGGTAGTATTTCCATTTGTTCATTAGTACTTGTAATTCCTCGTTGCTGTACCGGAATAGATTGCGCAACCTGTGTTGACAGATGGGCTCCTATGCGGACACCTCGATACTGATCGAATATTCAGCATGTTACCGTTTATCTTGATGGTTATCAATGAAATCGAGGATGCACATTTCATCTGATTTGGCACTTAATCGTTAGCTGGATATACCTACACTTCAGTGAGTGTTGTTTTTCCCGCACAGACCAAAATCCAGTGGCCATCGCTTCAAACGTCAAAGCACTGTCCACTAGGGAACCACTGAGGAACGAGAGTCACTTCATTTGAAACAAGTATCACTTATTCTTAATTGATACTTGTAATTTTCAGTCGCTAAACAGGGTTAGATTGATCCACCTCTGTAGTAGTATTTCTACTGTTAGAAAGTCTGATTTCCCCTCGTAGAACGGTCAATCATTTTCAGGAATCTAAAGAACTCAATATTTCCACCCCGATGCGAAAACATCTCTAATTACTAGTAGTAATTTTCTGAATGAATTCCTTAATTCTTGGTCATTGGAGATAGCTAGTTTAGTAGTGGGAATGAATTACCGATAACGGTAATCGCCAATGGTCACGCATTTCCTATGAATTTATCAATTTGAAAAATATCAATTACTGGACATCAGTCTGTTTCCTAGATAGTATGGAGTTTAACGGCAAAATAAAGTGTCCGATAAGGACTTGGGAGCAACAAATGAAAGTAGATCCTTAAACTAAGACTAAACACACGCATGGTACTTCCTGATTTCTAGAGGTTTTTCAAACCGTTTCAATTGTTGGGTTCATGCTAAAGAAACATTACTTATTGATATAGGATTCGATAAAATGTATATTGCTACATACTTGGTATAGAGGTGGCTTTATGAGTGTGTACCTGATATTATTGTGACTTGTTTAGACTTCTTTTCATCACATAGCATACACACCTAGTCACTTATCTAGTTAGCTAACAGTGTTGCTAACTTGAAAAGCATTGTTGTGTCAAAGCAGTAGGAGACGTAAGAGTAAGAGAAGTCAGCAAATTAAATTCGTCACTTCAGGAGAAGAATTGGCTCTGATGACCGAGTCAGACAAGCCGAGATCAGATACGTGTTGGTAGAATCAGGGGATGGTTTCCGGGCTATTCGTGTCCTACGCCGTGCTTGGTTGTATAGTTACTAGATTCCGATCGGGGTCCGTCGTGGGTGGCCTCAGCTGGTAGTTTGGCATGGTTAGTGACGCGCAAAAACTAGCCCTGCATCTCTTCAAGTGGCTGTACTTCCTTTGTCTGATGCACGACGGCTAACTCAGGACTGATATAAACCAAAAGAATTCGACTATCTAATGCCCGCTGACTGTTTTTGAATTAATGTGATTTCTGCTCAGTGCTGTGAATGTCAAAGTGAAGAAATTCTAACAAACGGAAGTAACTGGGACTCGCACGCCTATAATAGGCAATATATATCTGCACCTTTGAGATAATAAGACGTATAATTTAGTCTTAGATTATCAACTTACTTATTAATATTGACATATTTTATTTGTTCCTTCATTTCTACAAACACACAACATCTAGGCGGTTGATGCTACCACTGATGCAGATATTCAAAAGGAATTCGCAAGACAAAGGGAACATCTTGAGAGATCTGTAATTGGACTTAGACAAAAATTAGCACGTGACAGTGAAATGCATCGTGCAGATTATGTTCGTATAATGCAAGTAAGTTGTGCTTTTTATGCAATTTACTAAGGTATTCATTTTCACTCAGTTATTTATAACTTTATTTATTGATTTATCAAACTTTACTTTAGAGTAATAGAATTACGAGTTTTATCACAATTTCATCCCTAAATAAAACTTTATGGAGTTGTTTCTTTTGAGGTAGATGGTTTAATGGTGAAGCTTTTATTGTCACTTTTGAGAATATCATCATCACAAACTTCGGAAAGAAGCGAGCTGTGCGATTTACAATATATGTAGCTTGATAGCTTTTGCTGATGACCTTGGGTATGATTAGCTATTTTTGATAAAACCTTGTCATTGATACATATGTATTTCCATTGGTTGTCCCGCTCATATGTATTCTGACCTTCTAGTTTCTTATTGACTCATAGGTTGGGTCAATGTGAAAATGTCTATCGGTCACTGACTGACCTGAATACCAAGCTTCTAAAAATTATCTGGTATTCTTTATATTTTCTCTATTAAAGATTTCTACATTTTCCCAGTAAGATTCATGTTCACAAATGTCTGTACGCCACTAACAACAACAACAAGCTCCAATCACCGTCAATGGGAGAAACCTAAAGAAGTAGTCTCTTTCACCTATCTATGCAGCATCGTTTCAACTACAGGCGGCACAGACGAGACGTCAAAGCCAGCCAGGATCGGAAAAGCAAGACAGGCGTTCATTGACCTGAAACCAGTATGGAGATCTTCTGTACTCAGCATAAAGAACAATATCCGGATTTTCAACACTAAGGTCAAGTTAGTGCTGATATGTGATGACTGGAGACTTGGCGCGTTACGAAAAACATTTCCAACAAACTACAGACATTCATCAACAACTGCCTACGCTCGTTACTGAAGCTCAGATGGCCATAATAATACGAATAAACAACAAGGAACTCTGGCTGGGCAACGAACCAACCAGGGACCTATCGTTCAACAAGTTTGCAGAAGGAAGTGGAGGTGGATTGGGCATGCACTGAGAAGACCATTTGGGGACACCACGCGCCAGGCACTCGAGTGGAACCCAGATGGGAAACGAAAGTTGGGCGTCCCAGCTGAGGGTGACATGGAGGAGATAGTGTAAAGAAGAAATGAGAGCTTGTGGGCAGTCGCGAAGCCAGGTTCAAAAGATTGCAGAGAACAGAATGGAATGGAGACGTGCTACTGAAGCCCTAAGTTCACTAGGAACGCAAGGGACAAATAATAATAATTGATATGAGCGAAGATATATCACGACCCTTCGCCACCAGTTGATGTTCATGCAGACAGACGTGAAGAGGGCGACCACTCTATCCCATATATTAGAGTCTATGCAGTTTATTCTGTAGATAATGTTAGACCTGTCCTCCTTTGGTGGTTCATCTTTTGGCCTGCTAACATAACATCATAAATACTTACGTAATCTAACCATCTCCCTGTATTAAAGTAATTTTTGATATTTCGAAAGAAATTCTTGAAGGTATACAAGAAACTTCTATGCGAATTCTTCATTGTTTATTACTTGTTTAATATAAATCAAAAAGGTAATCATATCTTCCCCTGTTTGTGCTATTAGGACCGTTAAGTGGCTGTATAATAACAACATTAATTGACCTAAATTAACTCTGAAATAAAAGTTATATTACCTTTCAAATAGATAGTAGTCTTTGTTTACTCAGACATCAAGTGTATGCTCTTTCTCCTAACGAATACATAAATCTTGAAGATGAAAAGAAACGTTCAAAAACCTACTACATACTCAACTCGTGTCATATTTGATTCAAGTAAATAATGTTGAATAAACTAGTAGGAAAAAAATGGTACAGTGATCAATCAGTTGTCTTTCTGATTAGTTTAAACAATAAAAATAGTTGACAAAAAAAACATTTTGCTAGCTCGAATGCGCTGCAGTTGCCTAAATTTTCATTCCAACTTCAATCATTCATTACCTAGTAACAATATAAGTATGCTAAACCACTGCTACCTCAAATATTCAAACTGATAAAAGATATTTCTTCTAAATGAATCATTTTCAAAAGTTGTACATTGTAATCATAGTTACAAAAATAAAAACAAATATCCATCAATGGCCAATTGGTCAATACAAGGTCATTAAAAATTGTCAGTAAATTAACAAGGTGATTATGACCATAAGGTCAAAAAAAGGCATCAAAAGTTGTATATGGGACTACAATAAATAGCCAAGGTAAAATTAGAGATTGGACGGACCTCATTTAAATGCAAAGATCAAGCTTGAACTGCTGGAGTGTTCAGGTGGCGATTCCACACTCGTTTCGAAATGTTTGATTTCACTTTATGAATTTTGTTTTAAAAGATTCAAAGGGAGTAAATGTGACTTCAGTTAACTAGGGACTGAAGAACTGAGTTTTTAATCGATTTTCACTCTCCTTTAAACAACCATACAGATTTGTGTTCGAAGATGCCTTTTGATTGAAGACGCTTTGTATGGCATATGTACCCAGCTCCACAAGACCAGATGAATAGGTAACCACATATTACAAGAGGTTCAAAGCGGTAGTTCGTCCGATACACGCTCTGGAATTACTTGTTGACTGCAAAAAAAAACTGAAGCTGAGGGGAAAAGAAGGTTTTTTTCAATGCTTTGAACAGTCAGTTCTTCAGTATCTCTACCTGTGTATCTCCCATGAATCTAATATTCATGAATAGCGTCTCCTTTGGAACCGCAGAGGTTTCTTCTTAGAATTTTTTAGGCTTCATGTTTCTCTCGATGATTTTGAAGTTGACCATTCTTGATTTGCACTCTTCGAAGTACTTCCACCTCCTTATTTACTGCATCATACGTACAAATTCTTCTAATTCATGTGCATAGTGAATGAATTAAATTTCTTTTTCTACATAGTGGAGAAACAGTGAATGAAGACCTTACGAAAACGACATGAAGAGCATATTCATGTCTAGAATAATATTCTACTTCATAATTACACAAAGATAAACAATAGATGTATTATGATTTGGCTATCTGAGATAGCCATAGTTTGGGTGACCAGTATCTATACTGGGTGATGATTGAAGGTGAGATGAAAGTCTGGACCGCAGCCGGATTTGAACCAGCGACCACCGGGTTACTGGCCCGGTGCTCTACCAACTGAGGTACGAGGTCCGACTACTGACCACATTTTTATTTCACTCCAATCACCAAGGCTTTCGCCCGACTACCATGTGAATCCGTGACGCGTTACTACCGCATGATCGTATTCACACTGGCTGCCTAGTCAGGACTTCTCATCTCAATCCCAATCTAACTGAATCAGAGAGGGGGAGGATCATATTGATTATCATTTGACTATCCAAGATAGTCGTACATATAGTAGTTGGGCAAAACCCTTGATGACTGAAGTGAAATAAAATTTTGGTCAGCAGTCGGACCTCGTAGGTCAGTTGGTACAGCACTAGGCCGGTAACCCGGTGGTCGCTGATTCGAATCCGACTGCGGTCGAGATTTCCATCTCACTTTCAATCATCACCCAGTACAAGTAAATGTATTGATGCAATCCGTTTCGAGTTATTTCAGAAAAGGTGCCTTAAACTTCTATTATCCTGAGGGAAAATAACTAAAATGTCTACATTTCTTTATATTGACCAAGAAAAACTGTTAACAACTACATTTAGTGAGATTATATGACTAAACCGACATTATAATCGGTACTCATGTACTACTTAAAATCACATCGCCAGATTTTAAGGTGACTGAATATACAAATCACAGGTCTGTTCATGTGAACATTTACTTCATCCCACTAAACTGATTCACCTTGGTGGCCTAAAATCAAATGGGTTGCTTTCATCTCTCTTCCAGTGAAATTTTAAAGATGTCACTAATTTACTTCTACAGTGTAAGCTTGAAAACGAGTGTCAGAAGTTTGGCTATCATTAAAGTATTTTTAACAAATGGTTATACGACATAATATTTCATTATGGGATAAACGTTTCATACTAAAATACATTCAACATTACACTTCTGGGAATCGAGAATGATTGCAACACAAGTTTCTATTGCGAGAACCGAGCAGTAAAATGAGACAGGAAGTGAGGCCACTGCAGACAGTAATAAAACGTAGCTGGTTTCATAGTGTTGCAAATAGAATACCTGACAGATAACTCTAATTATCATATTTGCGATTGAAGAGAATAACAAAATTTCTTAGCCTTAGTATTTATCACTAACCGTCATCAGTTAGAGAACCCCTGAAAATCTGGGAGTACTGGACAGCTGTGTAGTTCAACAGCAGGACTCCTCATCTGTGTACACCCATGACACCACTAGAGATCGCACCAAGAACAGTCAGATCTCTCAGCCACTGGGTCGAAATCCAATGGTTAACATTTTCCTATTTCTGTCTGTTTGCCACACAATGCAACCATTACATCTGCCCGATTCACAGGCGCGCACCGCAGAGAGGCCTCATATAAGTGGTGAATAGCTCTCCACTTCTTCGATATTACTTGTTTCCCCTCTTTCCTATAGAGTTTAAAAGTTCATAAAGACAGTTATGGGAAAAAAAGCTGCACATCGTAATCATAGTTACAACTATATATATATATATATATATATATATATATATATATATATATATATATATATATATTTATATATAAATGGGTCAAAACAGGGTCATCAAAAGCGACCAATAAAGTCACAAGGTGATAACATCTAGAAGGTCAAATCAGGATCATCAATAATTGCTTACAGGATTATAGTAAATAAACATAGAAATGAATAAATTGTCTTACGGAGATTAAGGCAACGGCAAAATTAGACTGAGTGTATTTTTTTCAACACAAGAAGCAAGCTTGCAGTGCTTGTTTGCTAGAGCTTCTGCTGTGTTGAAGTGGCGATTCCACATTCGCTTCAGAATATTCGCCTTCACCTTACAAGTGACCTTGGGAGAAGATTCTCATGGAGGATAGTGCCGATTACTGAATCTGAATTATGTATTACAGGTACATCGCAAGAGCAGCTCCTTCAGATAATGTTGAGAAATCCTAATTTCTAAGCTTGTAGATTTCAATATAATCACCTAGAAAGCAAACTGTTTCCATCAAAGGGACATTTATACAGAGCGATGTGACATCCAGTGATAACGTACGCTTACTACACACATTGAGAACTCTTATGCAGTTAACGAAGTCGTATGAGTCAGGAGTACTATAATGATCCGGTTCTTCATTGGTTGAAGGATTTCATTGAACCATTTAGCAATCTCATGATATGGTAAGTTATCAATGTTTACAATTGGACGAAGAGGAACATCTTTCTTATGAACTTTGGGAAGACCGTAGAGTCAAGGAATTACTGAACCGGATGGTTTTGGCCTTTCAAACAGATCTGCACTGATGATCAGTTCGTCTCTCATCTTCTTTAAAACGTGCTCGTTACGAAACATGGAATTCCTGGATATACTTACTGGCAGGATCGTGGGTACGCACTGTTGAGGAGTGCCAGCCTAGGACGAAACAGCTGTCCTGTGCTCCCAGGTTTTCGACAATTCTCCAACTAATATTAGTCCATGGTGAATACCACCTTGAAATAAACAGAATAGGCTTAACCTTAGACTGAATTATTTAGTAGTAATTTATTTATGCCAAAAAATATATATGCCTTTTTTTCTCTTTACTCTATGAATGAATGAAATCAGGAGAATGTTAGTCTCATTCAAGAAATCAATAATCTTCGCACAGAGTTAAAGGCATCACGAAATCATATTACCGATTTAGAAGATACAATTGGCTTAAATCGTAAAGATGGCGATAAAGCTAGACAATTATTAATACAAGTGAATAAGTCTCGGCCTAATCCAGCACTAGAAGCCGATTATGAACAGGCACAAAGAGTATTGGCTGCTCAACAAAACTTAATTGATGTTTTACAGAATAAATTAGATGCACAATCTCAAAGCTTCAATGCAAACAGTCCTAATGATCTGTTAAAAGATTTACAGTCAGCAGCACACTCAGCCCATACAAAATCACCGTCAGAGACAACAACAACAACCGCACAATTACAATCAAGACCATATAGCAGTTCGAATGTTCTGCCACCGATTGGCAGTGGTGTAATAGTTGAGTCTACGGATCAGAAAATGCCACTCCCACCTAATTTTACTGTAAGTTCTTTCAATGAAACTATGCTTTATTACCACTTTAGCCATGACATGACCTATATGAAGAATGTTTCTGGTTATGCAGGCCCTACCTCTTAATTGGTGATGAGGGTATGTGGTTGAGTCACATGGTTTAATGATATTGGTTTTGCTGAGATGTTTAGTTTCAGTGTTGGTTGTATTGTTGGGTTGTTTGCTTATGATACTGAATGATAGGAAGAAAGAACTGGATGTGTAGTGGTAGTTAGGATGAAAACTCAGAAACAGTTGTTTTGTTTGTTGATAGTTGATAAAATAGCACTTGTCGGAAGGAGTAAGTGTTCCGTCAAGTCTATAGACAACAGTATTCTTTCTAATTATTGGTTTTTGTAACTGGATTGTACATGTTGGAATGAACTGATAACGTGTTTGTGGTGTAGAAGGGTTCAGTTCATCTTGATAGAGTTTTCAAGGTTACCTTAGGTTGCAATTCATCGTGAATTGACATTAGTTAGAGGAACATTGGAAACCTTGAAGGAATGGATAGCTATTTCGTCCTGGTATGGGATTCCTTAACAGTGCGCACCCATGACCCCACTCCCCAGGGATCGAACATGGGACCTTAAGGTTTCGTTGAGCAACCGGGTCGGAATCCAATGGCCCATGCTTCTTACTTCTGTCAGTTCACGATATAGCACGAGTTATATCCATTGTCGTCATTCAGTAACTGCCCTCATGTTCAGCCTGGTTGACTCCACTGGTCACGACTTCTCATTGGAACTTCGAGGATCGCCTTTCAAAGCTAGTCACCATTGCGAGCTAGATTAATTCTATCTGGAGGCTTGTGGAGATTTTGTAATTGATTTTTCCTCAAGGTTAGTTAGTTATTTTTCGTAATAATTGTTGAAGTTAAGTGCGAAAATTTCATTAAAATGTACCATACTACTCTTAGGAGACATACGATATTTCCAGTGACTGGTGATGCACAGTCTAAGAGTTGAATGCTCTGCCTAAAACTTCTGTATTCAAGAGAATTGTCAGGATTTATTGTGATCAAGATGCAAATATTTAAACGCTATGTAGGAAGCATCATAATTAGGTGTGCTCCATTAAGAAACGAGATATATTCAACACAAATTTGCTTGCTCTTTTGTAAAATCACTAATGATTTACTTAGTTTTCAATTGATATACAAATAAAAAGCTTTCAATACTTTATAAATATTTAGTAATTCAGTTGAATAAACCTGAAATATTTGATCTAAGAACATCTTTTCTTACGTTCTGTCCTGTTCTCTTGTATCTAAACACAAAAAGAATGAGAACAACAACCAATCAATCACGAGTATCCTTCACACATCTGTCTTCGTTCTCATTGGCTGGACATTCTGATTGGACCACCTGCCTTTTTGATGACTGATACATTTTCCATATATTTTGTTATTAAGCATTGTATAGACTAGTGGTCTAACTTTGGTTTTTTTCTGAGTCAACCGATGTGGCATTAGTGGTAGTAGGACCAAGCAGCACTTCAAAACGTGCTGGAATAATAATAGTCAGGATGAGCGTTCGGTATTCTCACAGTCTGTCAGCCATGCAATAAAATACGAAACCGTAATCAACGTAAAATTGGTAATAACCATCAGATCAGGGCCACGACATTTCAAATACATTTAATGAACTCATTCAATGCGAATAAACGTTGTTAAAAGTCATATTTTTAACACCCTAAATTCACCCTATGTGGAAAAAGATAGGCGCGATGAGTTATTATGGACCAGTTAACAATACTACCATATAACCTTGAAAAATGATAATTAGCCAATCACCTTAGAGAGGTAGTAGTGTAATAACTGATTAAGTAGATGTGAATGTCAAGAAAACAATAGTCAGTCTACTGACTGTTTATTTGATATAATCAGCTCACAGTGGAACAATATTACTCAATGGATGACGTTTTGAACACGACTCATTACTCATAATCATATCTCAAAATAATCGTAGGACTTTAGAACTTCCCTTAATGGTACCGAAATCCTCCCAGTTTTTCTTGGTATATGTGGTGAATCATTTTAGTTGCTTATTTTAAGTGTTGATCCAATGAACTACAGAAAGAAGCTAATGCTGAGTTTATCATCAAACCTGGTGATAAAACGTCTACAATAAAATTCCAAAGCTCAGAGAATACCAAACCACCATCATCCTCATTCTGAGCTAAAAGTTTTCTCCATCATTTTATCTCAATTGAGTTTGACATTCTATATCTGCCTACATCTTTGTCTTCCTCTATTCTGACTGACTCGATGGCTGTTTTGACCTATATATATATATATATATATATATATATATATATATATATATATATATATATATATATATAATTTCGTTAAAAGTTCAAAAGAACTGATAGGCGACGGAGTAGTATTGTTGGTGGTGATTTCAACATGCCTAAGAGGGAATTCAAATCTTCTGTAATGTTACTGTATCAAGAAAGCATATCGGAAATTTTACGTAGAATTTCTAACAATGCTGGGGTTAGAGTGACATTTAAACTCACAAACTCACTCAGAGATAAACTTTGTAGGCTAAAAGATCCAGTAGAGCCAATTAAGCAAAATAACTTGATCTATCAAATGCCAGCAATGTAATGATTGTGAGGTCAAGTATGTAGGTCAAAGCAGGTGATCGTAGTCAGCGGGGATAGAGGAGAACAAAACTTTAGCGAAGCACTGAGTGATGAAAGCAACTAAAGTAAGTAATTCAGAGAGAAACTCGATAATCACTGACTCATAATCACAAGATTTAGTGACAAAGGTGACATTTGTAAAATCCAACTTAGCTAGGCGGATGGAGAGATTGATTAAAGAAGCTTTGTCCATCGAATCAACGTTTAACACATGCAACAGTAGTCATCCATCACATATTGTACGAAAAATTGGGAGAATTTTATTACCAAACTTAGTGGAAACTACAATTAGTGACTACTGAGTCGATGTCTTAAAAGTCATATTTATCACACCCTATGAACAAACATATACGCTAAATTATTATAAGCCAGTTAACAAGCAAACAAACAACAGAATTTCCATACTGCCATATGACCTTGGGGAATAAAGATCATAAGAAAAGAAAAGACGTGGTTTCAGCGAAGAAACATTTTTCTTCCTATGATCAAATGGGTGTATTCCGCTTTTTAATGAATAACGATTAGCCAATCAACTTGGAGAGACAAGAAGATAATGACTGACCTGACTGTATAAACTGAAATGAAAAAAAAGATTGTCAGTCGAATATCTGCCAGCCTCCTTCAACTTTGGGCTGCCGAAAATTCTCCACCGAATATATTACATGAAATTATTGCCTTTCAACTGCAGTTGCAGACTTTTATACTGGTTGAATGAACCAAGACCATCAAGCTTATTCTCGATTTTCTGCTCATTCCCCATTCCAGATCATATTCAAATCTAACAAAAGCTGAATGTTTAACATTTTTACCTCTAACACTGTTATTGCTAACGTCATTCAGATACTTTAATTATTTCTTTTAAAAATGTTGTTTCGAGGTAGTATTCATCACGGACTGATAGCAGTTGAAGAAGCATTGAAAACCTGAGCTGTCTTGCCCTAGTATGGGGCTGCTTATCAGTGCATACCCACGACCCTACCAAGGAGCGAGCTGAAGACCTACGGATCTCGTAGCGAACGGGTTAACCATCCAGCCACTAGGAGGCACTCCAGTGGTCCATATGTTTATACTGCTGTCAATTCACGATATAGCGCGACTATCCAGATTCTCCTTAGAACTTCCGGGTATTCATTTTGAAGTATCATATTAATCCGCCCAGGTTTTCAGTGGTTTGCCAAACTACGCCAATCCGTAATGGATACTACTTTGAAACCAATTAAGCCATGCACACTTCAAATTAAGCATATTGTACTGGGAGCAAATTTGTTGAAATATTGAGTGCTGCAAATGCCTAATGTATACAACAGTGATTGGAATAAAGCGATCATTATCACTATTCATTTAGTTTTGGCTAACAGTGGGATCCAGGACGCTCGTCTCGTCCTATTTAGGACTCGTCAGCTGAACGTATCTGTATCCCAGTAAGTGGTAGTGTTCCCACTCGGACACCGTACCCATCGCCTCAAACGTAACAGTGGTATTCACTAGACCTTTGAGACACGATAGCCTTTTCTTGTGCAGCGAATAAGACCTCATATGCCAACAGGGGTCGATCAATGAGATCCAGTTTAACAACGGAGAATAACGAGTTTATCAACAAACAGTTATTATTATCACTATTATTATTATTATGCCTAATCTCATATGCTTTTCTATAATTTTACATTTAGATTCCGCGGAAAAAGGTTTCCGAAACTCACCAACACTCAAAAACTAACAATCAACATCTGAGAGCTGAAATGAAGATGCTAATTGAATCTATTAACTTCGATATTTTGCATAAAAAGAAATATGTGTATCCGACTTATATTAGACGTATTACGATGGAGCATAGAAAACATCCCCGTAGCGTAAGATTCCAAAAAAAATGAGAAAAAAATTTGTGAAATAAATATTACATTTACATTATTTAATTATGGCTGATTAAAGGTTGACACATTCAACCACTTCACTCTCTATTGTTAGCCGTGGCACCGATGAAGACTAATCCTGGAGCAGCTATTTCCATTTCGGTGGTGACAAACGCATACCAAACATTCTCAAATTGCTACTCAGTGCTCAGAAGACTCTGCATCTTGCCAGTATCTTCACTTAACAAGACTATGCCATCTGCATATTCTAGATCTAAAGAAAATTCTCCTGCGATTAGGTCAACCTCCGTGTAGTCAGGTGACGAGAGGGAAACCTCCATAAGAATATCTATGATAAAATTGAATAAGAATGGAGACAGTGGGCAGCCTTGACGGACACCACTCGTTGAGCATAGCTTCTTGAACATCTCACCATAGGCTCTAACATGCTCACAAGTGTTCGAGTAGACAGCCTCCAATAAGGTGATGTACTTAATCGGCACACCTTTCAGTAAGAGACACTGCCATAAAACTTCATCAACGGAGTAGAGTGCCACCGCCCTCAGGTCGAGAAATACAGCCATTGTCGGACATCGGTAAGCGTACCTGTGTTCCAGTGCCTGGCGCAGTGTGAATATGTGGTCGATACACCCGCGGTCGGGTCTAAAGTCTGTTGGTTTTCTCGGGCTTGTTATTCCTGAGCTCCACTCAGGCGTCGAAGAGTTATCGAACCTAGAATTTTAGATACTATGTTCGTCAGGCTGATTCCTCTGTGGTTATCACAAGAGGTCTTCTCACCTTTCTTGAGGACTGGGATTTAGACCAGTCACAGGGGACCGTATTTGATTCCCATACACTAGTTAACACTTCCGTTAACCTAAGAGCACTCTACCACCATCCTTGTATACCTCAGGAGTTAATCCGTCTGGTCCGGCTACCCTTTCTCGTTTCAGGTCACATACAGCTTTCTCGACTTTTTCTAGTGTTGGGGGGACCTATCTCAATGTTCCATTCAGGATCCAACTGGATAGTGGGCAACGCGATGGTGGCTGGAGGCCAGTTAAACTGCTCCTCGAGGTGTTCTACCCATCATTCCCGTCGTCTCCTCTGCGAGTGAATCGCAGATCCGTCCTTCTCCGCTATAGCCTCACTCACTGTTGGTGACCATTTCCCCCCAGTCTCCTTAATAAGTCTAAATAACTGTCTACTGTTACCGATCGCCGCTGCCTTTTCCATCTCTTTAGCCTTCGCTGCCCACCACTGTTCGCGGTCGTTGCGTAGACTTTTTCTCAGCCTACTTTTAAGTTGCGCTCGCTCTTCATTGTACTCAGAGCCTGCAGGGATGCATTCACGTGCATCCATTAGTTTGGAAGAAGCTGCTGATATCCACTGGCTCTTTTTAGCCATTATCTTGGAGTCGGCTACAGTCTCCAGTGCTGCTTTTACAGCAGACTGAAGATGGCACCAAGCTTCTTCTGGATGAGTGACAGTCTTTTGTTCCGATAACTGCCTAATCAACTTCTCACTGAACACGGCTTTGGTGTTTTCGTTGTCCAGCAGCACTCGTAGTGGCTTTGTTGCCAAATTTTTTCTACGTCCATTGAGACGCAGGCATATACGTGCTCGGACCAACGCATGATCGCTATCCAAACATGTACTCCAGAAGGAGCGGCAGTCTTCCACCGATCCTCTCCAGCGATGACTAATAGCAATGTGGTCTATCTGTGTCCATCGCTGAGTTGAGCTCGGTGGACGCCACGTCAGACAGTGTCTTTCTTCATGTCTGAAATTCGTCCAAGCTGAAAATAGGCGGTTATCTGAGCATAGCTGTAATAGGCGATCACCGTTATCTGTACGTTCAACCGGGATTCCGAAAGTGCCACCTAAGTGCCTTTCTGCCTCACTCAGTCTACCCACCTGTGCGTTGAGGTCACCTGCAACAACCACCATGTCCGAACGTTTGGCTTTCGAGAGGAGGTTAGACAGTTTACGGTAGAACTCGTCCTTCACTTCATCCGAACTACAGTCAGTGGGTGCGTAAGCAGAGATTACAAAGAGACAACGGCGAGTCTCACTATTCCTTTTAGTTCTCACTGTGCCGTTCACCCTCATAGCGCAGACGCGACTATCAACTGGGATTCAGTCTAGTAGTGAGTTTTCTGCCTTACTGCTTAATGCTATGCCTACACCTGCAAGACCACGAGAGCTAGCTATCGAATCTCCAGAAACTCGAAGGGTGAATTTTGCGGATTCACCAGATTGGTCAGGAGAGGTCAGGTGAATAACCGCACTGTATGCGTGTCTCACAAACACAGCACACATCCATCCATGGCCCGAGTTGCTAGAGTCTTTGCCAACGAAGCCTGTTGGCCAATTTGACGGAGGGTGCGGACATTGAAGGCTCCAATATGTAATTTGGAGCGTGGTTTAAGGAGACCAGGGATGCTGTTCTGTGGACTCAGATCGTTGTCGAAGGCTGCAGAGGTAGGAGAAATTGAAGATGATGCAGCATCATTAATTAAGAGACGTGAAGGAAGATTAGAAGGTAATGATGGAGGAGGAGGATAGCAGTCAGAAGAAACTTGGGTGCTGACAGAGTTGTGAGGGCGGTTGACACTTCCCGGCTGCCCACACCGTGGAAGGCTATTTCTTCTTAAGGTACCTGAAGGAGATTTGTGTGACCTCAGAGCCCATCGGTCATCTGCTTGAGGCCTGTCACACACAGCCTTTTGTGTATGATTATTTTGAACTTTTGTATTTTTGGGGCCGGATGGTCGAAAGGAAACGACAAATGAACCAACACCACTGGCCCGGCAGACCGTGGAGCATGGTGGAGTGTTATTTTTGGGGCCGACCTTTTCTAACCCCCCCCTTCCACTGAGAAGGCAGCATCAGCATGGCACTGCTGGTCATCCAAGGGAAACACCTTACTGCTGTCACACCCCATCCAGCTAGCAGCAGTACGACTTCGCCCTCAGACCCCCATCATAGTGTAGCAATTTACACCACAACGGTAACTGCTATTTGTTTAACCACTATCGAATAGAACTTTCTGGTATGGTAGGACCTCGAGGGAACAAGTGTTCCACCAGCATAACTCGTTGGGTCATTGGGATATGCAAGCCCGACCACCACATCAAGGTAGATGCTATCTGTCGGGGCATGGGAATATGACCAACCTGTAAGCAGGTTCATATTTTCGGTTTATTTGGTGAATGCGATGAAATCTGGGTAAGGCGTTTCGACAAATTTCAGACTCATCACTGAAAAAGTGGCAACATGCCGGGCGAATTCAACTTCAAAAACAATATGTAATGGAAGAAAGTCATGAGAAACTAAAAGTTCTAAAAAAAAGACAAAAAACGACGAAAAATTACCATGAAAAATACAATTGATGTGGAAACTGAACAAGATTTTAAAAAATCCGTAGCAAAAAATAAGTATGAACAGAAACGTGAAAGAAAACACGACAAAAACCATAAGAAAAGCATCAGAATACACAAACAAAAGAGATGATTCAACAAACAAAACACAAGAAAACAAAAAAAATCCATGTGAAAAAATATATCACAAACAATTTAACTGAACACGACAAACACCAACAAAAAAGCAAAAAAATTAAAAGTTAAGCAAAACACAAAAAAAGTAAAACCAGACAGCAAAAACTATAAACACCCAACATTAAAACAAACAAAAAACACAGCCTCGAGCAGGATCGAAGTGACGACAACAGGTTAACCAGACAACACCAAAAAAAAACAACACAACATACATATAACACCAGCCTCCCTCACTACTACTCGAAAAGACGGACAGACACCCATCTGGACACACTCAACGCTCATCAAACAACCCACATTCTTGCGTCTATTGACTGGCAAGACGAATCCACCATCACATGTCACTCTACCTGTTCACCTCAACTCCCAAGCACCACCTCACCATCACCAAACTACCACAACAGCGTTTCTCCGTCATCTAATCAACCGATCGACCAGTACAGTCACAAGTCAAATGATCGAACGAGAAAACAAACAAGCCAATCAACTTGATATTGACTGTGAATTGTGACCAGCAGTGGAATCCAGGAGTCGTGTTTCTTGCCATTTGGAACTGGTTAGCTGGATATACCTTCCTCCCAGTGGGTTATGGTGCTCGCCTGAAGACTCGTACTCAGGACTAATCGCTTCAATCGTCAGGGTGTTATCTACTGGACGACGAGGACTGTTCATCCTGACGCAGATTCGATTTTTTGTTTGTTTTTAGTTTTAGTTTTAATTTTTTCTTTTAATATTCATTTTGCGAATATTTTGTATTTTTTTAATTTAGTTAATTTTGCGTGATTTGTAATGAAAGGCTTTTTGGTTGTTTTCATTTGCTGTTTTCTTTTTGAATTTTTTGCGCTGAGATTTTCTCTGCTTGTTTTTATGTGTTTTGTTTACTTTTGAGTTGGTATTTTTGTATGTAGGTTTTTCTGTAACCTCATTTTTCGATGTCATTTTGGTGGTTGATTATGCGGCGTGGAGTGCCAGTAAATTTTACTGTGAATGGTTGTTTTCTTGTTGCAGTTATTTCTAATTGCTGTTGGCCCTACGCAGAATTCCTAATTTGTTGTCCATGTTTTTCTTTCGAAATGTTAGGCTACTAGTATATATGAAGTAGTGTGTCGGTGAGAGCGTGATTTTTGGTTTTGCTGACTTTCGCGTTTTGTTCGTGATATTTTGTCGTTCATGTTTTTTCCCACCACCTTTCCTCTCGATTTGCCTCGTTCTTGAAAAATCGCACGATGTTTTGGTCTGCGTTACTTTGCGAAAGTGCGAATTGGGTGCTATTTGGGATGCTATTTAATGGAATTTTTTTAATATCTTGTTTGTACTATTACATTCTCTGCTCATTGATTTTTGAGATGTAACGAGTCAACTCGTTATTTATATGGTGTCCGATTGACCTTATTTGTCTACTTTATACCGTGCTATTCAAACTTCACATCCTGTCCCGACAGATGCTTCAAGGACTACTTTATAGGTTAATCAAAATATCCATTTATTTATATTGATTTCGTCTTCAAATGCAGATTTTCACAATGTGGATAACTATTGTTGTTGATTAGTTGTTTCATTCGGTACCAGGTTGGCCTTTAAATCCACTCACCCTAGAATTTAGACAACTTCATAGGTCGTGCACGTGAGTGTGTTAAAGTAATTTGAAGTTGTGATTGGTTTGTATGCATGGCCATAATTATTCTGTGTGTTAATTAAATGCCTTGAGCATGTCAACATAAAGGGTAAATTTATGTGTTCATTTGATGTTAACTCATTATTTATCAATGTCCCTTTGGTCAAGACAATTGACATTTTATGTGGTTATATTTCTGTGCATAAGTTTCCGATACCCATTACTTTGGATCACCTAAAACAGCTGTTAGTTTTATGTACAAACAATATTAAATTCACCTTTGAGGGCGAACATTTCCGCCAGGTTGATGGTGTCGCTATGGGAAGTCCTTTAGGTCCCCTCCTAGCCGACATATTCATGTCACACGTTGAGAACTTAGCCGACAACTTAATAGACCAAGCCCATCTGTATCGAAGATACGTTGACGATATCCTAATCATTTGTGAAAACTCAAATCAGGCTACTTCAATTCTAAACCGACTGAACGAAGTACAGAACAGCATATCTTTGACATGTGTAAGAGAGGAAAATGACTGCTTGTCGTTCCTAGATATATTAATTAGTCGAAGGCAGGATGGATCCATAAAACGATCTATCTACAGAAAACCCACATGGACAGGGCAATATCTGAATTACCATAGCTTTTGCCCAGTTCAGTACAAGCGAACGTTAGTAAGGTGCTTATTCAGCAGAATTCAACGAATATGCACCGAGGATACTTTAGAAGATGAAAGAAGAACACTGACCGATATTTTGTTGGAAAATAACTATCCATCAACATTTATCAGGCAGAACAAAATCAGCAGAGCGTCAAAACTAGAACTGCAGTCAGTCCCAAAGAAGGATGTCTTCATCAGCCTTCCGTACAAAGGTGACTTTCAGAGTGCAATCCTTAAGCAGAGACTCAACGCTGCTGTTAGAAGGACTTATTATGCAGCCAGGGTTCGAGTAATCGAAACCATGAAGCCCTTATATTCCCCCAAACCCCCACAGCATGTGAACGATAATGTCACATCCCATTGTATCTACCAATTCAAATGTACGTTGGGTGACACATACATAGGGAGGACTAATAGATCCATGCAAGTAAGGGCCTCGGAACATATTCCAAAGTGGCTTCAGAAGCAAATCAAATCACCTGAACCTATAAATGTTGGTAGTAAACTTCCAAGCTCTTCGATCGCTAAACATATCGTTGAGACAGGTCACAAGATTGATGTGGCTACTTCCTTTACACCTATCTACAAAACATGTTGGGGAGGGATCCTGAAATTTGTTGAAGCCTTAGCTATTAGGAAGTTTAAACCACCTTTATGTATTCATAAACAATTTGTTGTCACATTAAACCTTCCTTGGTAAATTCAACTATTGAAAAACCAAGTTCGATGTACTATTATTTTTTCGCCCTATTGATTTTCATTGTTATTCGGCCTTTAAGTCAGCCTTCCTACCTGACCCCTTTTTATTTTCTCACCCCTTATCTTCATGAGTTTTTATATAAATACCTATGACAAGTACGTGTGTGATCAGATAGTTCGAAATGTGTTGCGCAAATACATTACACGGTTCAGACAATTTACGTCTTCTTATTGTTTTGTCGAAGTTTATCAAGGGAACTAATTGTTTTAAATAATCTGTGTTACCTGAAATTCGCGTATTACTTGAGTACACTGTTTCGGGCCTTTTTGGCTATTTAATATTCATGTTGCAAATGTGACGGTTTTTGAATATCTGAGAATGCTGTTACTATGTAACAGCCCAAACTCTCTCCCATTCCAGTGGTTTTCCATGTGTTAAACTGTGGTGTTTTTTTATGTTATCTTTTTCGCTGATTGCGTGTGTTGCGATTTCTTGTTGTCTGTGAAAAGTTATGTTCCTCTCCACTATTTCCTTTTTCGTCTCATTATCGTTTGGATTTCTTACTACCCTTATTTTTTTATCAAAACGAGGGGCTCCATTTCAATCATTTTCACCCACAGAATGCTGTAACAAATTGGAGATTGTTGGATACAGGCTGAGCATATGAACTTATGATGACTGAATCCATATTTAATTCATGGAAGCAATTTCTGAAGGAGAATCTATGCATGTAAATGATATGTAAGCCGTGTATAGCAACAAGTATCCAACTGATGCACACCGCTTTCTCATTTTGAAGCAGTGGAAAAGGTACTGGAAGCGATTAACGACATAGTTACTTTTATGACTACTTTCCTTTCCAAAGAATAATGAACTGTTGTTTTGTCAATAAAAGAGAAAAAATTGTGGGCTTAAAGTAGTAATATTCAGCTTTAAATTTTCTGTTTGAGGATTGAAGGCTGTGAGTCTTTATTAATCCTTTTACAACGGGTCTCTGTGCTTGCCCAATCCTCTTTTGAACGAGCCAATTGATGATGCGGTCAACTCTTCTTCCGGGAGTCAGTTCTGTGAGTTGATTTCTTGATGCGGGAACCAGTAATCTATGAAGACTACGTTTTTTCATTACTTTTGTATTCTCCTGCTATGTCCTCTGAGGTATCATGTCCTAGTGGGAAGGAAAAGAGGAGATAGATCAGGTTCGAAGTCATTTCATAGAGTCCTGTATAGCATGAATATATCTCCTCTCTGTCTGCTATAGGACAAAGAGAAGAGGTCCAGGTCCTAAAGTCTATCTTCATAGGTCAGGCCAGTCATCGCAGGGATCGCAAGAGTAGCTGCCCTCTGAACTCCTTCCAGAAGGTCACCTTCCAGACAAGCAGTTGACGGTCATATACAGTTTTCTAGTTTAGACCTAACTAAGGATACATGGAAGATGACAGTGAACATATTACCACCTATTTTTGTAAACATTCTGCGTAATGCCCGAAGTGTCCCAAAACTCCGAGCAGCTACCAATCAGTAGTACCCCATGGTTTTCAAATCATAACTGACTGTGACCTCTAGGTCATTGTGAGTCAGTACTGATGGTAGAGGAGTCCCATCAATATCGTAGGTGCCATTTGTGTGCCTCACGTGCATCCCCACACATTTACCTGCGTTGGTAAGCATCAGCCACCTCTCTGACCAGGTAAACAAGCTGTTAAGGTCTGCCTGAAGTGCATGTATATCCTTGTTGTTCCTAATTTTTCGCCGGATTTTGACATCATCAGCGTAGGCAACCATAGCGGATTTCGTGATATTTGGCAGCTCATTTGTGTGTGGAAGAAATGCTAGGGGACCTAGAACCGTCCTTTGTAAATTTCCACTCTCTATCGACTTCCGAGATGAGAGTTGAGAATTGATCCTTACTCTTTGTCTCCTACTAACGAGGAACCTTCTCACCCATGCAAACAGACTGCCAGTGATTCCAAGACTTTCCACCTTCCCGAACAACTTGAAGTAAAGTACTTTGTTGAACACCTTGCTTAAAGTCTACGAAAATGAAATCTACAGGTATCCTACCATCTTTAGACTTAACCCAACTTTTTCTGGTTGTGACGAGGTTCTTCAAGTAAAACAAATTTTTGCGAAAGCCATGCTGCGAGTGAGACAATAGAGTATTCCTCTCTAAGTGAACTGTGATGGCTTTCTTGATTACTCTTTATAGGATTTTACTACACTGCGAGTAAAACTTTTGGGTCTGCCATCTGATGGGTGCTGCTTAGAACCTGCCTTGTAGCTACGTGTGACTATGGCGTCCTTCCAATTATAGGGGAGTGTGCCTTTACTGACGGACAGTCGAAATACAGTAGTCGATGGCCCAACTACATGGAATGCAAGTTCTCTGATCAGTCTTAGGTTCAACAAATGTAACTTGCAGCTTAAAGGGTTTAGGATGTACAGCAAGTTTCAATGCTATATTCAAAGATAGAAATTTAAAGGCTTAAGACCGTTTTCGCACTGACAATCACAAGTATGGCAACGCCCCTGTTCGAAAGCATATAAGCTCTGGAAAAACAAATGCATGGTGCACGATTCAACGATAGACGTGGAAAAGGCAATCTGATTTCTTATGTCCGTATGAAGTTCGGATAAAATTCACTGAATCAGGATGTTTTAAATATCCGTAAATGCCAAGAAATGTTTGTAGTACAGTCTATAGGAAGTGGACCTGTGAAGTAGGCGCTGGAACACACGCATAGCGAGATTAAACTTATAACTCAGTCCTGAAATGTTTCTGTAAATAGATCTCTGTTTATCGTATCTAAGTTTCCTGT